CAATACCTAATGCTCCACTGCTCACTGTGTTCAGCAGGGTTGTGTGTTGTACCTCATCTGTAACACTTTATAACTAGAAAAGCACACTCCAAGAGTCACAGGTCCATTCCTAAGAAATTCCTGTATCCAGGCGGTGATCTGGATCATATAGGTGTAAACCATTGTTTCTTCCTCATAACTTATTGATTTATGAGGGGGTTTCATGCTTGTGTGCACTGGGGAAAGGGATCAGCAGTGAGGAATCACAATTGTCTGTTCCTTACGCACTGGGAAAACAGAAACACGTGTTTCTGTTTTCATAATGAGACACGAGCTGCAACAGAACACTCATAACACAAACTGTCTGTGCACACAGAGCTGCGGCAGTACTAGGTTTGAGCGTTTGAAAGACATGACTAAAATTACAATGTGCATTACAATTTATAAAGTTTGACTAGTCCAGGGTCAGGGCTAAACATAGGGAGGAGGGAATTCAGGTTTATGCAGGTAAAATCTGTCTTCCTGAAAACATGAGACAGGCTTCATCTCTGACAAGTTTAAAGGCAGGTTAAACGGTATTTCTCTTGTTCATCTTCTTCAATTTCCATTTATGGAGGAATGACATTCTTTACAATTGCATAGCTGTGTTTGAAGCTCATCATTTTTAATTTGGAAAGATAAACTCCTCTCTCTCTTATAGGAAGTCACAGGTGGAAAGTTTTTTTTTATCTTAAATTTTCAACTTGAGATATTATTTCACAAACAAGGAATGACAAGTAAATCATCATCATTGAACTGACAGGAGTGACTCAGTGAACAGTGAGTCCAGTTTAACTGAACCAAGAGTGACCACACCCTGAGACTGTGTCTGTGTGTGTGGCTCTGTTTCAATGGTTGGATTGATGGGACAATGGGCTTGTGAGACTCTATTAATGCGCCGTAACGTACTTTGGGGTGTATTTATTAATCCAGGCGCTAAACTGCAGATGCAAAGTAAAAACTATTTCAAAAGTTGGTAATTTAATTGTATGTGCACGTTTAAAATAATGTTAAGCGCTGTATAAAACAAATTCTGATTGATTGAACAATTATCATTACATTACAATCACTGTTATCTTGAGAAGTGATAGAATATGTTCCACACATGCTTATTTGCAGTAATTAATTCTATATAATTATTTGGCACTTTCATTGCATGTCTTAGTTCCTCCACTTGCTGTAGGGTGTGAGACGTATACGTTTCATAAAATGTGAAGCGTTTTATTGCCCCGACTCCAGTTATATTTGGCTGTGCAGGTTCTTGACTCCGTGGGGTGCTCCCTGTGTGAGTCTGAGCACAGCGCTGCTCATTCAGCAGGGAGCTTCAACAAACTCCCGTAAAACCACTAACTTAGAAATAAGACACTACGAACACAGAACGCACATGAACCACCTAATTCTTTAAGTACACAAAAAGAGATCAAATATTTAAGAATTGGACTGTATTCTATGATTCTATGATTCCAGGTTAAATTGCGTTAGAGACAAGGTTTCAACCTAGCAAGTAATAAAATGGTGCTAGTTCAGAAGAGGGATTATTATGAGTGTGTGTAAGCTGCTGTGTCTCATGAGAATGGATATGACTGATTTGTTAGATAATCATTGTTTTTACACTATTTCAGTAAATCTCAGAAATGGGGCAATTGGAACAAATGATGAGATCCACCGTCTGGATATGCAGATTATAGATTCATCAGTGCTGTTGTCTTGATTGTGAGCTACTGCTAAAGAATGGCAAGAAACTACTTCTGAGCTCTTAATTGCTCCAACAATCTAAAACGCAAGACGGGACTACAATTTTACAGAAGACTGAAAAATCATCAGGAAATTCTAAGAAAAATCTCCACTCCAACTCCAAGTAGAAGATGAGAAAGTCCACCCAAGCCCCGGATCTCCATGATGTCTGCCTTTTCCAATGAATGGCCTGTGGTCATTGACCCATGCTTGCACAATGGACGTCCCAAACATGTGCAGAAGTGATGCAGAGTAAGTAAGTAAGTAATCTTTATTTATATACCGCCTTTGACAGACCAGACTGTATCCATTTCATTTCATTTCATTTTCAACCCCTTTTTGTCCATTTCTGGGTCAGGGGGGTGGCAATGAGAGCTGCCACCCAATGCTCATAGCACCACATTGCCTGCACATAGACCCCTCAGACAGGAGGCTACGGTCCATTCGAACCAGAACCTCCCGCCATGAGAACAGTTTCTTCCCCTCTGCAGTTGGACTCATGAACACTTCTTAACTCATCATTGACCCTTGCTTTATACGACCATCCCTTTTTGCTACTGCCCAGATAAATGTTGTGTACTTATAGTGCATTTCTATATAGTAGTAATTTAAGACATGTTTTGCAGATGTTTCTTTTCTTTTTGTGCATGCCTTCTTCTATTTTTACTTTTATATGTTTGCACCGAGAGCTAAAGCAACTTCCTAGATTGTGACTTCCTGTTATTCAATGGCACAATGGCAATAAAAAGAATTCTGATTCTGATTCTGATAGAGCAGCAATACCAAATCCAGATAAGATAAACTATCCATGGTCCACCCTGGCCAAAAAGCTCCATGCAAATATTTAAAGTCTGTTTGAACAATTCATTTTCCTATTATCAAAAGTAATTGGTTTATTGTGCCTGTAGCCAATTCATCAATTTATAATTAACTGAAAATATGTATAAGGGTTGAAACAACTGAGGTTTAAACTCCAAACCATAACTAGATTTAATTATTCAATGTAATATTGAAACAATGTTGGATCGCCACTGCATCCTTATTTAGAAATATGGAGCAAAAAGAAGAATAGCATTGTGCTCAACTAATAGTAATATAATTGTTTATCCTAAAAGCATATTTTGCTTGTAGCTGGAGTAGAACAATACCTACATTTGTACTGCTGCATCACAAAACTACCAATACACTAAAGTCTGGTTATGTTATTTGAAATGCACTATGTGTATTAGGAGCTGTTAAAGATTATTATCAGATACAAAGTTTATGTAAAACATGTTTTGCTATGCATTTAAATGTATGGATCTAAACAAGCTCTGCCCCATTACACTTTCACATAATTGCATAAAAAGCCTGACATACGCTGGGCACTGTCCATCCCCTGGTGTGCGTCTGTCCACTGCATTGCACTCAAGTTTAAAAACACATCAACACAACCTCAGGGAGCTAATGTTGTTTCTATTAACATGCTGTTTGTTGACGCAGTAGGATGCTGCTGTAGTTTGTGCTGCCTTTACAGACCAGTGCAAATAGCAAACGTGTGTGTAGCTTTCTGTATGTTTGTCTCTGCTGTTCATTAGTCTTCTGCTTTCAGTCAGAAATATCAGATTGAGAGGAAAATGTCTTTGTTTACAGAGAAGGTAAGATGAACAGGACTCAATCTTATCAATCTTCATCCCGCTGGTCTGCAATCTTTTTGTCTTATTGTGCCATGGGACTCCGCCACCTGTGGCCCCTCAGCAGCAGGCTCTATGTGAGACATTCACTTGTTCATATTGGAGTAAGTCACCATGCACCTATGTTTCCCCCTCTTTTGTGAATGCTGTTCGATAACAAAAGGACTGTTCCAATGTGTTAATTTATAAATCAACTGGAATACGCGTTGATTATAATGTGCTCCCAATAATCTTATCCTATACTGCCCTCTTGAGGAAGTTCGTTTTTCCCCACTCTGTAACGACGTCACCCATATTTGTTCTCAATTCAATTCCATATTTTCTTCACTATATCACCGTTTCCAGATACATTGTATGTATGTCAGGATGAGTGGGGTCTCTTTGGACTGAATACAATGTTTTATAATCAGATAAAGACATCACGTTATGGTTAATAAAAGTTGAACAAAGCTCTTTCTGTTGGGACAAACGAAATGTCGACAATGAAACAAAATGTTGTTTTTGCAATTTTTGTGATTGGCGTTACCTGTAGTTATGGAGTCTTTGAAACATATTGATTTTCCTGCCTCAAATTGTTGAAACAGCTTCTAAAAACAGCATTGTCTGTGTGTGGCACAACTGTATATCATTGAATATATGATTTCCTCCACAGAGTCAACGAGCCACTCGATCACATAAGAGCAGCTCGGAGTAGAGCCACTGCTCCTCCAAATCAATGGGTGGGTGAAGGTGTAGTGGAGCATATTACCATCCAGTGCCAGGAGGTGGAGTGAGTGGACTGCTACAAGTAGTCCACATGAACAACAGACTAGAAGGACAACAGTACTTCCAGAGGAGCAAGCGACTGGAGGTCTTCCACCAGTCTGTGGTTTTCAGTGCTCTGGATTTACCACTCTCCAGTTCTATTTTTACTTCTGCACCTTCTGTATAAGGCACAGTATTTATATTAAATTATACTTAATTCTAATTGCACTATTGTGATGAAATCCGATACCTATTTTTTAACAATGGATGTTTTAACTTTTCCAAGAATGTTTAAACTTTTGACATCTTTTTAATTTTATGTTGTGCTTGTTTGAGCTATTGTGTCCAAGTAATTTCCCTTGTTTGACAATAAAGCTTATCTGAGTCTTATACACTTCTCTTGCAAGCACAGATTAGAGTCAGACCTATGGTGCATCGTCAAAATGATGCATTTGATTAACAATTTATCATATTTGATTACATTGACATCAATACTCAATCACCCAAACAAATCTAAAATATCATTGTTATAATTACGTGTCATATGTGTTTTCCATTAAAATGACATTAAAATGATTTTCACTTCACTTTTGTCTTCTTTTGCTTCCATTCAGGCCAGTGAAAATAAATTGCTGTATGATCATTGTGAAGATGCATCATTTACCTTTAATATGTACTCAAGAACACTACAATATGAAATGTTATTTAAAATCAGTGTTTGAAATTTTATGGAAAACACCACAGAAAAATCCTTCACGCAACTATGTCAGTGGCGGCCTGAGGGGGCGCTGTTGTCAATGCGTATAGCCATAAGCGGGCAGTGTGAGGTGCATGAAATGGAGAAAAATGGCGGATCATGTGCAGGTGAGAAGAGGTTTCATGTTTTTATCATTATTAGATTTTCTAACGACTACATTAAAGTCGGCCTGCTATTTCCGGGTGGTGTGTTTTCTGGACAGGAGTTGCTGTTACTGCTGAATGTGCTCAGATCTGTCGTGTTTAATGTGTGAAGCTAAAAGAAAGGATGGGTGCTTGTGTTGACTTGTGGCCTGCTGTCATTGCTCAGACTTGGCTCATAACACTATGAGCTAATGCTAGCTGTGAGCATCAAATTGGCTCCCAAAACGTAAACAAATGCCTCCCTGCTATTATTTCGGTGGCAGTCGATTTTTGAACGTATCTATTATTTAAGCGTTTAGTGTTGCTTAGATGCGCTGACAGGTTAAACCACAGTTGTCCTGTTCACGTTCACAAATAAACACAAATGGGTAACTATTGAGGACGAAGAGATGCCAGCTAGCAAAACATACATACTTCGGCACATAGTCACGTGAACAGCTCTGTGTTATTTATGCGTTCACTCAGTGTTCTGTAAGCCTTCACAGACAGACGGCTGCATTTATGTGTTCGCCAATTGTTATGAAAAGCCGACTTTCAATCCGCTAAGCTAATGCTAGCACCAGGCTGTAGCGTCGGAGCTGGTTCTCCCGCCCGAGCCCGTTTGAAAAGATGATTTACTTTTGACACTTTTCAGACTAAAACATATTTGTTTTATGTCTCCCACTGCAGCCCACATGTGAGCATGTGAAACAAGACGCCACTGTAGGTGCCTTCTGCAATTGCACGTTTGTTGATTAAGATGTACTGTGATGTTTAGCTTGTGCGGCTAACAGCTTTGACACATGTTCAGTGAGCAGTAGAGATGCATGGGGTTTAGGTTAACAACAGCATCTTTTTAACTAGCATCAGGGCTAAGATAATGTAAAGAATTAATACAACCTCCACATTTTAGGAAAGAACTAAAATATCACGTGTGAGTTTTGGGGGGAATTGTAGATCATAGCGTGCAAGCTATAGTAGACCAATCTTAAAGTGTTTAAACAAAAAATATTTTATTTTGATTCTGTATGCATATTGATGTTGGAAAATTAGTAACTTTTTATGATGATGCAGACCAGTAAGACCTAATTCAGAGCTGACCAGGCAAGATTTGGTCCATTATCACCCCTCAGAAATAGTATTTGATTATGTTGAAAAAGTAGCTCATACTCTGTATAGATGCAGATAACAGTGTTCTTTTGGTCCCCCAAAGTCAGAACACATCGTTTCCACGCAAACGGTTATCATGTGTTCGCTTTGTTCTAAAATCATGTAGGTGACTCGTATGTTTCTGTTAGGTACTGATATCTTCCTTTTTGTCTCTATCTTTGTGTAGGGCCTTGCCCAGCTGGAGATCCTGTGTAAGCAGTTGTATGAGACGACCGATACTGCAGTTCGACACCAGGCAGAAAAAGCATTGGTCGAGTTTACCAACAGTCCTGACTGTCTTAGCAAATGCCAGCTTCTTCTCGAACGAGGCAGTGTAAGTATTCTCGAATGTCACAAAGTGGTAATTCAGTGGTGGTAAGACGCTGCTGTCAACCAAGTGAAATATGGTTATATTTTCACATATGTATAAAACAAAATATAGCCCCGATTCTGTATGATTGTAAAAACATACCAGATTTTTAAGTAATTGAAAGCAATTTGAGTTACAGGTTACACTGTACCTTCTAACTGTGTCATACTTTGTTTTATTGTGACTGTTTTTTTTATCACAATTGCAAAGTTAATTGGTGATTTAAAATTGTATGTATTTTATTGACCATAACCAGGATTGTTCTTGAGATTTCAGAATCTCTTTCAGGGGTGTCCTGGCCCCACAGGTGTAGCCTCATTTACTTATTTTAGAGGTAGGGGAAACTGACTGAAATCTTAATATTTATGGTAAGTTTAAATGAAAACGGCTTGAAGCTGTTATTTCTAATGATATGTGATACACAGTGCACTTTGTACACAATCTCAAACTGTAATAACTGTATTATTACAGTAGAGTCATGATATTTTAAAATCAACAAACTTGGATACTGGGTAGTGTATAACTAAAATGAATATTAGTGGTGTTAAGTTAACGTTCTCCAACTCCCTTTCGAACATGTGTAAACTAGTTTTATTGTGTGTTTTTTCTCCCTCTTATTATTCCCTCTCTCTCTTGTTACTTTATTATCTGTGTGTGTTCTGCCATGTTAAAAATTATTTAATTGACTGATAATTTTAGTCAAAAGTAAATATAAGTAGTAGTTAAAGTAAGTAATTGTAGGTAGGTCTAATTATTGGGGATCATACCTAATCTGATATCGAAAACATCTCTACGGTTGCCTTGTTGTGAAACATTGGAAAGGTTTTATGCATCCTTTATGAGCTGCAGTTCACCATTTCTCACGAGTTGGAGGGGGGGGGGGGGGCTCAGGGGCCTGAATCCAGTGGGGCGTGAAGTGTTTAAAAAAACCAACAAGTAAAACCTTTCCGCCCTGACAGTCCAGTCCAGCGTTAGTGCACTCAGAGGGCTGTGCATGTCCTTACATTGTATTTGTAGTGCATTGTCGTCCATCCTGTGTATCCGCCACAAGCCTGTGAGGGCCCGGCTGTTTTACCCCATCTTTGTCTCTCGTTCAGACCCGAGACTGTGGTCATCAAGGCCCCACTCCACAACAGATGTCTTTTTTGCTCTGAGCACAAGTCTGTGGAATTTTGTAAATACAATGAATAATTATGCATCGGTTTTTTATAGTGCTTTTTTGGACACTCGGACGCTTCTCATGTCATTATTCTTTCACTCCATACACAGCGATGATAAACTACTACTGTAGCCACAGCTGCCCTGTGGCACACTGACAGAAGCGAGGGAACCTGTTTGTGCTAGGGATGTAAATCGGCGACCGTTTAACCGGTGGTTGACCGTCACAGCGTTAACCGGTCAAAGCTGTCGGTTAAAAAAGAGAAAAAGGGGAGAGGGGAGGTCTTTTAATAACGCTATTTTAAGCCCTATTTGCACGATGTGACGAGCAGGTCTGTATCTAGCTGTGTGCGCCCATGTATTATAAACTCCGGGACGACTCTCACGCCGCACGAGCCACATATGCACACACGCACGCGCGCGCGCACACACACACACACACACACACACTTTCCCCCTCTCCATACGTAACATCCACACGCATCATCTCTCCCCTCTGTTACCGTCAAAGTTGCACACTGGTGCGGGTCAGAACTACATTGGAGCTTACATTTACACACACACACATATACATACACACACACACACATACACACACACATACCGGTCTGTCGCGCTCCTCTGTGTCACGGAGCCCAAAGGATTCGCGCAAATACGCGGCTCCAGTCAAACCACATGGAACATGTTTGTGTTTATGGTCCTCGGGATCAGCTCCACACACATCACTTGTATTTAAACTTTTGTGAAGACCTGTGAGACGCGGCTCGTCACTCGCTGCTCTGACCATGTGAACGAGCCGTCGTTTGCTGCTAGAAAGTTTTGGTATTAACCCGCAGCACAGCAGAATGGGAAGATTAAAAAAGGAGTTCTCTGTGCGCAAAGGTGCCGGAGCTGTTGCGGGTTTGGGCGCCGCTGTCTCAGCTCTGATCCAGTAGAACGCAGAGCTGCACTTATGGAAAGTACGCGGCTCGAAATGGCTGTTATTTCAAAGAACGTAGACTATTTTAAACTACGCGATTAACCGGTTTCAACCGGTTAATGAGGCTCGGTGGTCGGTCATGAAAATTCATAGTTTTTTACATCCCTAGTTTGTGCCATTGCCCCTCCGACCACCAAAGCCCATTCACACACACACCAGACTCATTCTAGGCAATGTGGGTGAAGTGTCTTGCCTAAGGACACAACCACAGTTTGGCACTTCACAGCCACCCCATCTTTTATGCTTTTATCTCTCACAAATTTGGGAAATGAGATCGTTGAACAAAGTAAAGTCAGTGTGTATTTTGTGTTGATGGTCAGAGGAGCCTGGGGGGGCTTTGCTCTAATGAGATTGTTTGAATATAGATTACTATAACATGCCACAAATCACTATTTAAAAACAACTTGTGTAAATGACAAGGGAAAATCACTATAACACAATAACAAAATCTCTTGTCTCCCTCCAGTCGTCATACTCACAGTTGTTAGCTGCAACCTGCTTGTCTAAGTTGGTGTCAAGGACCAGTAATCCTCTGCCACTGGAGCAAAGGGTCGACATCCGTGAGTCTTGCATACATGGAAACTTGGTGAGCACACATTTGGATATTTTATGATTCTCACATTTTCTTCATCAGGAAATTATGTGCTGAATTACCTGGCAACACGGCCAAAGTTGGCAGCTTTCGTCACCCAAGCCTTGATTCAGCTTTATGCTAGAATCACTAAACTGGGTTGGTTTGACTGTCAGAAAGACGACTATGTTTTTCGAAATGTCATTGCTGATGTGACACGCTTTCTTCAAGTGAGTATAGAACTATTACACAATTAATCTGTCTTTGATTATTTACAATTTATCATCTGTATTTACATTTCCAGGACAGCGTCGAGCACTGCATCATTGGGGTTACAATTCTATCGCAGTTAACCAATGAGATCAATCAGGTACTGTGGCCATATTTGACTTATTTGAGAGTTTGCAATCCATATTGACAAAGCTCTTTGTTTTTTCAGGCTGACACTACACATCCTTTGACAAAGCATAGAAAAATTGCGTCTTCGTTCAGGGATTCATCTCTCTTTGACATTTTTACCCTTTCGTGTAACCTTCTGAAACAGGTACATTCAGCTCTTAAATTTATTTTGACCTACATTAGATCTGAACTAGTTTCAAACATTGGTACAACAAGGGTAAGAGTTTGCTTTTCTCAGCTAACGCTGTCTTAATCTTCACCCTCACAGGCTTCCGCAAAAAATTTGAACTTAAATGATGAATCTCAGCATGGCTTGCTGATGCAATTGCTAAAACTCGGCTATAATTGCCTCAACTACGACTTCATAGGAACCTCCACAGACGAGTCTTCGGACGACCTGTGCACGGTGCAGATCCCCACATCCTGGAGATCAGGTATTCATGAAGGTTACGACTACAGCTGGCATTGATGACTGGAGCTTTGTTACCTTTTGTTTTTGTATTTTCTCTTGCAGCTTTTCTTGATTCTTCCACGCTGCAGTTATTTTTCAATCTATATCATTCCATACCTCCATCCCTGTCTCCTTTGGTGAGTTATAGTTACAAGTAGGGCTGGGTAGATTAAGACCCCATTTGATTGTTTTTTGTTTTTACTACATACTTTATTTTGGATGAATAGGCTATAATGTGTAAGCGATTTAATTAAAAGGACTACGCACAGCCTATAAAGGCCTAAGTGTTCCTCAGTCAGTCACAGGTTGCAGTCACATCCATATGGCCTGATAAAGACTCGTCCGTACGTGACTCACAGAGCGCTCCATTTAGCACAGAGCATGTTTCCCTTCAACCAAGCAGGAACCGTGAGCAGACCGGGCACATGTCTGTGGAGCACTTTTGGAGGAGGCGTTTTGGGAGATCGCAAAGAACCCAGTAGTAACTGAGCAGATGCAGCAGTATGGATGAGAGGCATGTGAGATGTCTGCACTGCAAACCTCTGTAGGAGGAACAGACGGCAACACTGGTGGAAGCACGGCCAAATTAATCCATGCATCAATTTATTTTTAAACAGATTTTTTTTTTGCAATTTTCTCAGCCCTAGTGATACATAATTACTTGGATTATTGTTGCCACTTGTTGATTATAGCTGTATTGATTCTTCATTTATAATGTGTGTATGTTGTAGGTACTGTCGTGTCTAGTCCAGATTGCATCTGTTCGGAGGTCGTTATTTAACAATGCAGAACGAGCAAAGTTTCTATCACATTTGGTGGATGGTGTCAAGAGGATTTTGGCGAACCCACAGGTTGGTTTACTCTTGGTAGATATTCTATGTGTTCTCATTTGTATGTAAGGTAGCTCTTTTCTACCTTTTGTATAGCCACACAAAGCACTTTACATCAATGTGCCAGACATTGGTTACATTGGTTCACAATTGTTGTTATGCAATGAAAACATTTGATGTTTACGCTAGCTGGGGACCTGTTAGCGGCCAGATGATTTATGAAGCTCATGGTGCAAAAATATGGGTGAATTATTCTAAAAGGTGTGTGTGTGTGTGTGTGTGAACGTTAGAACGGTTTAATTTATTTCCAATTTTGTGCACATAAAAACATTTTATTTATTGCGGACTTCCCTGAAACATGGCTCCATATTTTATTGTTTTATTTAACCTCTCCTGTTTTCCATATGTTCATTTACAGTGTTTACCCGATCCCAATAACTATCATGAATTCTGTCGCCTCCTGGCGAGGCTCAAAAGCAACTACCAGTTGGGAGAGCTCGTCAAAGTTGAAAACTACCCAGAAGTCATCCGCCTAATTGCCAACTTTACGGTCACCAGCCTCCAGGTGTGTGTACCACATATACAGAAAAAATACCAATGATTCTTGTAAATGTATCTTGGTTTTTCATGAACTTGCCATGTTTTCCCGCTCCAGCACTGGGAGTTTGCCCCCAACAGTGTCCACTACCTGCTGAGTCTGTGGCAGCGTTTGGCAGCATCTGTTCCTTATGTTAAAGCCACTGAGCCTCATCTGCTGGAGACGTACACTCCAGAGGTCACCAAGGCCTACATCACCTCACGGCTGGAGTCCGTCCATGTCATACTTCGGTAAGGAAACCACTGCAGTGTTGCATACACGTTTTTCAGGGTTTTAATCACAGTTTTCTCCTGTATCCTGCAGAGATGGTTTAGAAGACCCTTTAGATGATGCAGGACTTGTCCAGCAGCAGTTGGACCAGCTATCAACTATTGGGAGGTGTGAATATGAAAAGACGTGTGCTCTGTTGGTGCAGCTGTTTGACCAGGCGGCTCAGTCATACCAGGAGCTGCTACAGTCCACAAACTCGAGTGCTGTCGACATCACCGTTCAGGAGGGTGAGTGCAGCGTCAGCTCTGATCTGGTTTATTACGGTCATCCCTCACTATAACGCAGTTCTCCTTTTGCGGTCTTGCTGTTTCAGTCCTTTTTGTGTGTACTATTTTGTTTTTGCATAGACTCTAACAACTTGTTGGATGTTATACATCATATAACCACTAGTATAACATGAGTTTCCTTTTTATTTAAAATAAAAAATGTGTATGAAGACAGCCGTGGCATCCAGTAGCGCTCGGTCCTGCTCCTGCCTCAGCGCAGTGTCCTCGGCTGCTGTATTTAGAGTGTGTGCATGACTTTTGACAGCAATAGTGCTCAGACCTAGAATAAACAGGTTTGACGTGGGCGCAATCGCACTTCAACAGTCGTGAGTTCAGGTGGTTAGAAATTAAATAAAGTTTGAGGGTTTTCACAGCCTCAAAACACATAGCTGCTACTTTGCGGATTTGTTCATGGCAAGTTCTATTTGCAAATATTGAGGGAGTACTGTACATGATGCTTGATTTGAGTCTTGTGCCTCTGTGTAGGTCGCTTGACCTGGTTGGTGTATATTATTGGAGCCGTAATCGGTGGACGGGTTTCGTTTGCTAGTACAGATGAGCAGGATGCCATGGATGGAGAGCTTGTCTGTCGGTAAGATTCTGAATGTTTTAACCATTCCACTTTTACTATTGGATCTCAATCAATGCCTGTACAAAGGAAGGACCATGAGTGACATCACCATTGTGTTTAGCTACAACCTGATAAACTCCACTTGTCTTTTTAAAGAATAAAACAATAACTCAACTCAGAAATTTATTTTTGTTTATTTGTAATGTAATGTTTATTTTTTATATACCGCCTTTCACAGAGCAGAGTCACTTTTTTTCCATGGCCAAGACTAATTTACGTTTAGGATTGGTCAGACTTCCCAACATATTTACGCCTGCAATCAACTAAGCCTACAAGGATTGTTGTCTGTTGTTCATTAGAGATTGTACCACCTCTTTGACTTTTTTACTTGAGAATGCTTTATTAGTCCACAAGGGCTAGTCTTCAATCACTTAAATAAAATAAGTAATTCTTTAAGTAAAATAAAGAATTACACTGTTTTATGAAATGCATTTGGATGGCCTTCTGAACACAGAATTACTGAGTCCTGATCGTTAATGTGCTCATAATTTTTCTAAATGTTTCCTTCTCGTCAGGGTGCTGCAACTGATGAATCTCACAGATTCTCGTCTCGCCCAGGCCGGCAACGAGCGGCTGGAGCTCGCCATGCTCAGCTTCTTTGAGCAGTTTCGAAAGATTTACATTGGGGATCAGGTGCAAAAGTCATCCAAGGTGAATTTGTGTCTTTGTTCCAATTATCTGCCTTTAATCAATATTGTAATATCTGATCCAAGTTTGAGTTGAAACTAAGCTGTGGGTTGTATGGGACTGTGTTGATTGACCAAGAGGCTGAATGCTGTCGTGAATGGCTCGTGTCTAACATGACGTTGCCCGAGTCCCATTAGGCTGACCAGAGTGTTTTGTTTTTGTCCTGGACAGAAACAACGTTATATCACCTTCAGATAAGTAGTGAAACAAAAACCTGGTGTGACATTAGCGCCCTTAGCTTTATCTGGTCTTTAGAGATTTTAGATTAGGACATTTTTACTCATGTATTTCTGTCATTTCAAGGATGATATGTTAATATGTTAAAAATTTAATCACTTTTGTTGTCCGTGTGAATTAGATCTAATGTGTGCCCCTTTAGTATCAAACAAACATAGTTTTAAGCACCGAGTCTGAGACATTACTATTTGAGGTGCTAAACGCTGTTTTTCCTTTTGCCTTTTTAGCTTTATCGACGACTATCAGAGGTTTTGGGCTTGAATGATGAGACCATGGTACTCAGTGTCTTTATTGGAAAAATGTAAGTAGGATGACTCTCGCATCATATTGTTTCAAGTGAATGTTTACTAAGACAGATTTCTGTGTTTCAGCATTACAAATTTGAAGTACTGGGGCCAATGTGAACCAATTACCTCAAAAACTCTCCAGCTTCTGAATGACCTGTCGTTAGGATATCCTTTTTTAAATGTCTTTGAAAACATTTCTACATACATTCAAATTGTCTCAGCTGTCTTTGTCCTTGACTGTGTGCACGTATAGCAGTGTACGGAAGCTGGTTAAGCTCAGTGCAGTGCAGTTCATGCTGAATAATCATACAGTAAGTGCATTACGACACAATCAGGATTCTACTGTTGATTCTGATTGCTTTAACAAACCTCGTGTCTTCAGAGTGAGCACTTCTCGTTTTTGGGAGTCAACAACCAGTCAAATCTCAGTGACATGCGATGTAGGACCACCTTCTATACAGCACTTGGGCGCCTCCTCATGGTGGATCTAGGTACCTATAGTTCAGGACGTGGATACTGTTTTTCATTTGTTTGTTTGTTTTTAATCTTAGAATTGTTTTTCCTCTACATGTCCTACAGGTGAAGATGAAGACCAGTTTGAACAATTCATGCTACCGCTAACAGCAGCATTTGAAACTGTTGCTCAAATGTTGAGTACAAACACATTCAATGAACAGGAAGCGAAGGTAACGATCGAGTAACGAAACAAGTGCTTTTCTTGTTTGAATTATATCTCAATTATTGGTGTTTTTTTCCTTTCTCTAGCGGACATTGGTGGGTTTGGTCCGAGACCTGAGGGGGATTGCTTTTGCCTTTAATGCTAAAACCAGCTTCATGATGCTTTTTGATTGGATGTATCCTTGATTGATTTTCAACTGCAAATGGGGGGGGGGGGATTCTGAGTCATGTTGCCTTCCTTAACATGTGCTTGTAGATATCCAGCCTACATGCCTATTTTACAGCGAGCCATAGAGCTTTGGTATCATGACCCTGCATGCACCACCCCAGTTCTCAAGCTCATGGCCGAGCTTGTTCACAATCGGTAAAGAACTCTTGATCCCATCCAAAAGATTTTTTTGAAGGATAGACTTATCTATTGTTCTTTGCTTAGATCTCAAAGGCTGCAGTTTGATGTGTCATCACCAAATGGTATCCTGCTATTCAGAGAAACAAGCAAAATGATCACTACCTACGGTACGGAGAACCTCTCTAGTTGAAGGTTTGCTGCATCCATCAGTTGAAACTTAACCCCTGTCATGTTCTTTGTTTTCCTGAACAGGAAACCGTATCCTGACACTAGGAGAAGTCCCTAAAGACCAAGTGTATAGTGTGAAGTTAAAAGGGGTCAGTGTATGTTTTGCCATGCTCAAAGCTGTGCTGAGTGGTAACTACGTCAACTTTGGGGTCTTCCGGTTGTATGGGGACGATGCTCTGGACAACGCCCTCCAAACCTTCATTAAGCTGCTGCTGTCCATCCCTCACAGTGACTTGCTAGTAAATAGTATTTCAATGAAGCTTAACCATGCAATTTATGATGACACTGCTAACGGCACCATTTATTTTCCAGGATTATCCTAAACTTAGTCAGTCTTTCTACTCCTTACTGGAGGTGCTTACACAAGACCACATGAATTTTATTGCCAGTTTAGAGCCACATGTGGTTATGTACATCTTGTCTTCAATCTCAGAAGGGCTCACTGCACTTGGTAAGAAAGGTTTGTTGTTGGCCTTACGTGTGGCTGCTGCCCCATGTTTAACACACTGTGTGTTTATTCCAGATACAATGGTGTGCACAGGCTGCTGCTCCAGTCTGGACCACATTGTGACGTACTTGTTCAAGCAGCTGTCTCGGTCGACAAAGAAGAGGCCGACTCCGATGGCAACTGATGACCGATTTCTCCACATCATGCAGCAACATCCAGAGATGATTCAGCAGGTTATGATACACACAAACATGACACTATACAGTATATATTATTCAACAGTGTGTACTTTATGTTCATTGTATTAAACAACGAATATTCAAATGTAGATGCTGTCGACGGTGTTAAACATTATTATATTTGAAGACTGTCGAAATCAGTGGTCGATGTCTCGTCCACTATTGGGTCTCATTCTGCTCAATGAGAAGGTCAGAATCTACTCAGTCCACGGTAAACATGAAGAGTTGATATTAATGCCTTTTGTTTTGATGTTTCAGTATTTTGCTGACTTGCGGAACAGCATTGTTAATAGTCAACCTCCAGAGAAGCAGCAAGCCATGCACTTGTGTTTTGAGAACTTAATGGAGGGGATAGAGCGCAATCTTTTAACAAAGAATCGAGACAGGTAGACTTACAGATACTTGTTACAAATACAGTCATGGTTAAAGTAGACATTTTAACTGTTTGGTCATTTCACTTGTGTTTCAGATTTACTCAGAATCTGTCCGTATTCAGGCGGGAGGTGAATGATAGTATGAAGAACTCAACATATGGGGTCAACAGCAATGACATGATGAGCTGACATTCCACATAGAATCTTATCAAGACACATCCACAGTTCTCCCTGATCTTCTTTGCTACAGCCTTTCTTCCCCGCACCAGCTCCCCATTCCCCGTCTCCATCAGCTTTTTTACCTTTGGGTCAGGACGCCCAGGGATTCCAACCTTGCCACAACGTTAACTGCTGTGTGCGCAACATTTTTTGGGGGACCTGAGCTAAATTCAGACAATAAACCACTTTGCTTGTATGTTTTCACATACCCATTCCCTCTGACTGGCCCTTCCCACTCTTTTTTGATAAAATCATATATAAATATATACAGATCTATTTTAAACCCAGCCTGCATTGGTCTAACCATTCATCTGGTCATTGCTGAAGATTGAGAGACACATTGTAGGCTAAAGGGAGGGAGGTTTTGCATGTATCCATCTGCACTCCTGTAGGAGTGCACTGGAAAAGAGGTGAACGGGGAACAATTGGAAAATGTAGTAACCTGCTTCTGCCTGCCTTGTATAGAAAACACAAACCAAGTGTACATTTCTTTTCGTAACATTTTGAACAATGTTTTTAATGATTGAAAATTAAGACACAGTTGAGTTGAAAATGTGTGATTGAGCTTTTTACGGTGTAGTGTGTTAGTGCAAATATGTCTGTGCGGAACAAGCTTTCCATCTAAATGAGGGTGCGGAGAGTGGGTAGCCCCTGCTGTAACTTGCAGCACTGAAGTGACAGAGATTTACTTTTTACTGAAGAAAAGGAGGAGGTACTTAAACTAACAGAAAAGGGAGTTTCAGAGCATCCATTTTGTAAATCTTAGTTAATTGAAGTGATGTAAATAGCCACTTCCCTCCTGCAAAAAGTTAAATCCTCTTTTTGGCCTGTTACAGCTCTGCCTTTCCCCTCAAAGCAAGTGCTAAATGTTAGGCCTGATCCTCTGTGCAAACATTTGCTTGTTTCTTTAAAAAGAAATGATAATGGCTAATGTGTAAGCATCATGGTAATGGCTACATATTTTCCTCTGGTAGGCTGGGTGCAGTTTCAACCATTTTGTTTACACGCTGGATTCCTTGGACCAGGCTTTGGGACTGCCCGTTAATGAGGAGATTGTCCTGCAACGTATGTGTTTGCAAATGTGTGTTGTCTGTGTGGAGTGAAGTGTGCGTGTGTCGAGTCCCATGGTGCTGTCGCAGCTCGGACCCAGAATGACATTGGGCGTGTTCACCAAGGCCTATACCATCATAGGAAACTCGGTTCCCAGTTTTATTTAGAAATATTTGAACATCGACCCTTTGTAGAAGCTCTGATCAGTATACACAGAAATGATTTAAATAGTTAGCAACCTGTTTCTCTATGATGTTGCTACGTTTTTGTGACAACCATTTCAGCACTCATGGATGCTTATTGAGGTCCTTTTTTTAAATTTATTTTTTGTGTCCCTGATGTGAATGTGTTGGGTCCATAGAGTGAATAGCCTGTTTTGAGTTGTTTGGATGTCTGCTACATATATAGTGTAAGCATTGTGACTGCAAATAAACCTCACTGATTTTTACAGTTGCAGTTTGTTTTTGTCACTTAATTTAACCGAACACCTATAATGTTCCTGGATTATAAAGACTAAAGTCAGTTGAGTGTACAAAGTTTTGTACAGTATTACAGTTGTAACACACTTAATACGTGTTTTCAGTTAGCAACAAAATGGCACCGTCAAACGTAATAGATTCAAGGCCTGATCAATAATTGATTTTATAAAAACTAATCTTTGCAGAAAGCAAGCTTACGTGATTTTATTATACAACTGCAAAAAGTAGTTTCAGTATTGTTGGTCATTATTTACTGAAGTAATATTGCCCATCATGACATTCAAATTAAAGGCAACGGACAATAAACAATTGGACCAGACCACAGAAATTACTTTTATCAATCTAGATGGACATTGGGCAGAAGGTGTTTTTTTCCTCATCTGTTACTCTTGGATTTGAACACCGCATCATTGAGGCCATCTCTGTTGCGGGCAATCTCTATAGCGTAAAACTGCACTCGTGTGGCTGTAATCAAGAGGAGATATTAGAATAACAGACAGACCACAACAGACACAGCTCTTACAATCTGAACAAACCAAATATTGTGTTTTCCTCGGTGTACTCTTTTTCAGTGTCCAATCGAAGAAGGGTGCCATAGTTAAAATCTTCAACAATTCCTTCAAACTGGTTGCAAAAGGGTCGCCATCTCTGCAAAAAAAATAATACTTGAAATCGTTCAAAACATGATTCTATGAAGTGAGACAATGAGCTACAAACAAACCCCACCTCTTTGGCTTCATTTGATTTAAGGTCTTCTGTTTTCAGAATTTTTATATCAATATCTTTGAACGTTTCTTTGAACAGGGTGTACAGATTGTCATCCACCTTGGTCAGTTTTAGAAATTTGGGATCCACGGATGATATGAGCTAAAAACAATATGAAAAAACATCAGTCGTATGGAGAAAATGTCTAATTATGGAACAAATTCTAAATAGGTAAAGATACATACAAAACATTTTATTAAAACATATATAAAATTATTTACAGTTACAGCAATTAACAAAGTTCTCATATAATTGACTTGCAAAAATCATACAAATGCATTATATAAATGGTATGCAAAATTGTGATGCTTACATTGAAGTAAACTTCTGCGTGCTCAGAGGCCTTTATTGCCCACATTGCTTCAAGTCGTGGCTGCAATAAATTCAATTAAAATGCAATTAACCAATATGTAAAGACATCACTCACATCTAAAATCACGTCATTATTGGACAAATGGTCCACTACTTTATGATGACAGACCCAGCAGTCCTATATAAAAGTACAAGTGGAGAAAGTGCAGCTCACATCATTTCCATAGGCGTCTGCGGGAAGAGACAGCGCGTGAGCCGCAGCCATAGCTCCCTCCGGCCCCTGAGACAAAACAACACAATATATATATCCAGTTACAAACGCACATAGAGTTAAAACGCAAGCTTACAACAAATATGAGTAATAATTGCTGGAATTATCAATGCTTTGACTGTATAATACACGTGTTTGCTGTCTGCCATCGAGCCAACAGGATCCATGACTTTTTAACGCCATTAGAGCCACAGACTACGCCAGTATTTTCTTTTTGATTCACGAAAATTTCAAGCATCAAAACATTAGATTTGTCTGTTCTTGAAAACTGTATTTATTTTTTAAAAATTACCAGAGAGGCCAACGCACTGTCCGCCGCCATGTCTGCGTGACAAAGATATAAAACCAACAAGAGCGAGTGAAAAACCAAAACAATGCGGACTGTTTAAGGGCTTGCCCACTTCCGCATTCCACCGATAGACCACATCTGCTTTTATATGTTTTATGTTTTTCAGGCGTTTCTCAAATCTTACGTTTTATATTGTGTGTTTTTTTGTTTGTTTGTTTTTTGTGTTGTGTTTTTTTTACAGAAACACCACGCTGTAGCCGGGTCGTGTCTTCAAAGAAGCAAAGTTAAAAGTTGATAATAGTTTTTATTTTTTTTTCTAAACAGAGCGGATCCACTTTCCATAGTAAAACAGAGCGGATCCACTTTCCATAGTAAAATTCATTATTTTCCTCTATTGTGTATCTATTTCCTTTCTATTTTCTTTTTTTTTTCAATATTTCTTTTTTCCTTGAGCATAGCTTTTCTAGGGTGAATACGAATTGTCTTAATTATTATTATTTAATTATATTATTTAACGCAAATTATTATTTGCGTACCAGTTCTCTTGACCTTTACTACTCTTTGTTAACTATATTCAGCCCATATTTTAAAGACCCAGCTCTTCGACCATCTGCAAACGTTTTATTGTAAAAGATAGCCGAACGTGTGTATTCTGTGCAGTTTTTAGTGTTTCATGTCTGTACTATTAAATAATTTTGTCAGGTTTTTGATGTGACGCCTTGGGTATTTGTCAATACCGTAAAATAGTCAAATGCTTCCATCTTGTGGTCAACCAAATAAATGCATTAGAAGCGAAATCTTGCATTCTAAAGGAGTCTATCAAATACGTATTCTAACTCAATAATAAGGCTAAATAATGAGGCTTACTCAATACAATATTCTGCAAACATATAAACTTGTAATAGCTGTTTATCTTCCGTAAATTCTTTGCTTGGTGGATAGTGTAATTTCTTGTGCTCTGATATACGGTCTATACTTCACGTTAAAACATATCGTTCTTTGCTGCCGACAACGAGTGAGTGACTGTGAGGCAGAAGGCGCAGACACGTCTTTTCCCGTGGTCGCATCATACGAACACAGCCACAGCCTCCTCTTCTGCTCTGCGCCTCCTCCTTATCCACGGAAAGGCTCGCCCGGATGCGGTCACCTCGAGCTCCTACACGCACCGACATATTTCGTTGTTGTTTGCGGGTAAGAACGCACATTTCTACATACCATAGTTTTGTAAATCTTAATTTTGACTTCGGACCGGGACGCGTTTATGATGAGAGACGCGCATGGAGGGACCACTTGCCTCCGAGCCCCCATCTCCTCTTTGCATCCGCGTAATTGCGCACCAGACAGGCCGTATGAGCGGAGAATGACAAGGCCGCAGGACAGGCTCTTTCACATGCGTTGTGTATGCTATGTGTGTGAGGAAATATAAGAGCCAGCTTGTGTGTATATGTCTCTGTTGGTCCTTTTGATAGGCCCGCATCCTCTTAAATCTCACCCTACACTATTGCGATGCTCTGTCTGTCTTTGCACACCATAATGCACATGCACAAGGCTGTATGCGATGATAAAGTGGTGTATTTATGCCTTTTAAAAAACACCATAATCAACCAATCTCTTTTACAGAAGTGTATTTGACGATGTGCATGCCATTGTTGTTAAAGTGAAAATCAATGAAGCCAGTGCTATACGGTCTCCTGTCATGTTAGGGTTAGGGTCAGTAATAAACAGTTTTGAGTATATTAGTTTTTAAGTTATGCATTAGAAAGTAACACAAACTTGCATTATGTTCAAGTCCAACTATTTGCACAAGACTGTTGTCCTGTGCATCACTCCCTATAGGCATCAGGAGTTAATGGCATTTATTTGTATTTGTTGCAAGTTTAACTAAAATGGTGTCATAATAATGTACTGCTCTGTGGAAAGGGAGTGTAACCCCAGCAATAACTGTTAAGGACGAGCTGGGCGTTGGCCTGAATGGGTTTGCTGATAAAGTGAAGTGGGTTGAGTGGGGTTGAGTGGGGTGTGTGGTGGACCAGGAAGAATCTGTCCTGGGATGGAGACGATAGTAGCAGAAGGAACGTGTTCAGAAGTCCATGTGGAGCCGCCTTTCCACACATTTGTCGTTGTACAGTGGTCCCAGAAAGATTTGTGGAAACATTATTTAAACATAAGGTGCCGCTCCCAGCCTCTGTCCCCGGAGAAGGCTCCATAACAGCCTCAATCTGATCAGTGTAGTTTTACACACACTCTCCTTGTCCCCTCTGCTCGAGCTGAAGCCCTGGGGATGTGGTGTTTCTGTTTGAAAGAAGGGATTTGTGCTCAGAGCAGCAGTAAAGCATCTGAGACAATCCATTAGTCCAGTGTCTCCCAAAGTGGGGTCCGCGGCCCCCTGGTGGGCCGCGAGGGTACTGCAGGGGGGCCGTGGGAGGTCATAAAAAAAAATAATAATAATATCATTATTTAATGTTAAATTTATAATGTTTTGTTTGTAATATTAAGATATTTGTGTTCATTATTTGACTTGAAGAATCCACTGTAATCATTTTTGTATTACAATGTTTGTAGCAGAGGCTATTTCCCCAAAATAAAATAACCAGAAGAGCCTATTCTTAATGTTGTCTTCTTGGTTATTATTTTGGGGGGCCACGCAGACCCGTCAGATTTTTAAGGGGGCCTCGGTGTTACTGAGTTTGGGAATGGCTGCATTAGTCCATTGAAATCTTACCAGAGGATGTCTAGCATCCAGTTTAACAAAGAATATTATCTTTAAACAGGTTTAATTTATCAAAACAAACACAATTATTTACAAATCTTTATATTATTTTATTTGTATCGACAAAACTAAGTACAGTACTTCCGGGACTGTATATAAAACACACCAGCTGAATTTCAAAAGAAAGTAATATCTGTTTACATATGCTGTAAAAGTGGCACTTAACAAACAGAATTAAAAAGATATATATTGGCAGCACAGTGGGAAGAACTCGAAAAAAGTAGAGGCTTATGGTCCAGGAAGTACTGTAGCAATGGATTATAAAAATGCTGATTGTTATTATTTCATTTCATTTCATTTTTTCACCAGCCAAAAAAACCGCAGTCAGAGGAAAGGGGTTCTCCAATCATGCAGAAGGTAATGGTGGAAGTATCTTGTAGTTGACACAAAACCATTTGAATTCACAGTAAAAACTGAAAGACAAACCATTTCTGATCATAACCATCTGATTCATCACCTTCAGACACGTTCATAGCCATCATTTTCAAACAGGATTCATCAAAGTGGTGCTAGAACAAAGTCACAGATACTGATGTTAAAGCATGTGTTTGTAATGAAGACTAATGTAGTGATGTCGTCTCAGGTGGAGGGACGGGTCACTCCAGTCCTGCCCTCCTCCAGGGGCACCAGCACCCCTGGGTCACCAGCCACTGGCATTATGGTAAGATACAGTGGAATGTTACTTCAGTGCCTCTGTGACTCCTAGATTTCCTATTTTTGAATGACAAAATAGTTACTCTCATGTTGAATATTCTTTTTATTTGTTGATCCTTTCAGGTGACATGAGTTAAGTTCTTTAAGTTTGGATAAGCTTTTGTTTCATGTCCGGGAATTTTTGAGATATGGAAACAGAAAACTGATCTTTATTTTTGGCAGTTAACTGTCTTAGATTTGAACACAACATTTATCCTTCTCTAAGATGGTGACAGATGTTGTTTCTGTAGGCACGTGTGGACGATCAGGTAGTGGGCTACAGGGACTTGGCGGCGCTGCCCAGAGACAAAGCCATTCTCCAGGTGGAGAGGCCCGACATGATGACGTATCAGCCTCACCTCAGCTTCTCTCCCCTGGACGCCCCGCGCAGAGAGGTACAAGCTCAGGGCACTGTTTCAGGCATACAAGGTTCATAAGACAACAGTGTAAAGAAGTTCCCACTGAAACATGGCACAAGAACCATCTAAGCCTTAAATATAACAAACTGTAAACATTTGACCGGACACTGTCGTCTTTTCGCACTAAATATACAACTGTTGTTTCCACAGCGATCCCAGTCCCCTCCGTCCACGTCTCCTACAAGAGTCATTGAGGTAAATAATATCACCGTTGTTCCTAAATCCAAACTGAACCTTGCATTAAAGCAACACTGTGTAAATCCATGACTGCCGGACTGTAAGGCACTACTTATCTCAAGTTCTTGAACTCTGCGGCCGATGTAGTGTTAATGTAGTATTAATGCTCCCCCACTGTTCACTGAGTGGCTTTTTTCTCCATCATGTGTTGGTTGAAAATTAAAACATAGCTGTAAAGTGTGGCCTAGATGTGGACATAATGTACTTTATTTTCAAATGCATCTGGGGCAGTTTATATACTGGTGTTATATACTGGTGTTCTATACTGGTGTTTTCATACTGGTGTTATCTACTGGTGTTATATACTGGTGTTCTATACTGGTGTTTTCATACTGGTGTTCTATACTGGTGTTCTATACTGGTGTTCTATACTGGTGTTATATACTGGTGTTATATACTGGTGTTGTATACTGGTGTTGTATACTGGTGTTATATACTGGTGTTGGTGTTTTCATACTGGTTTTATACACTGGTGCTTAATAACATGCCACCCCCAGCCTTAGTGGTGGCTGTTGCTGGGGCTGTGGCTGTTGCTTTGAATTATTGTAAGCAATAACTTTAGATCATTTTGTGGTGATTTATTTTGACTGTTGAACAATATTGCAGCGTTATGTCCAGTTCATGAACTCCATTTGCCGTGGTCTGTGCATTAATGAAAGGAAGGTCATCATACAAATCAAACAATGAGTCGTCTGTTCTTCTGTTTTTGAGAGTTCTGAAAGATACAACTCGGGCTTTGTCTCTGTGAAAGATATTTTATGCATTATTATGTCATCTACTTGTGGGGTGTCATGGACACAGTTTACAAATGACATCACAAGACAGGGACAAGCAGCACAGAGCTGTGAAGTGGGCGGAGCCTCCTGAGGCTGATGAGGTTACTACTATCCAATTTGGTTGTTTTCAACCCAAAAAGCAAATATAAAATGTTCAATATTTTGCTGGTTTAAACGTTTCAAAAACAAACTTTATTAACGCAGGTCTTGTGGGAATATTGTAAATTAAATATAAATGACTGAGAAAAGATCTATTGCGGGTTATTTCTGCTCTGTGGAATGACTGACTAACTGACTGCAACTGACTGTAACTGACTGAACCATGTTACTGTGCAGGTGAAATTAGAAAAAGAAGAAAGCGACAGTGGCTCCCCTGGAGGATCATCACTGCAACTGCACGCTGAGCGCAAGATCAGCTTCCAACATTTTCACAGACCAGGTTTATATTCTGTTTTTCTTTTTTCAAACAGAGAGAGCAGCTCTTTCCAATCCCAGAGACTCTGTTGTGAGAAAGACAGAGAAGTACATTCCTGGATTAACTACTGTATCTCTCTTGTTTCAGATAATGGAACAAATATTTACAGAAAGCCTCCCATCTATAAACAAGGTGAGCATTTGTTGTTTATTATCATTTGTCGTATTTGAACTATTCTTAGGCAGAGCTGTGACTGTGCAGATATGAGTAAACATGTGGAGGGCAGTGGAGTCGTTCAGTCGGCCAAGTTCCCTGCAGCGCAGCGGCCGGACCCCAACCAGCCCTCCAAGATCGAGACCGAGTACTGGCCCTGTCCGCCTTCACTGGCTGCCATGGGTAACACGCACACACACACACACGCACACACACACACACCACTCACACGTGCGGATTTGGACAGAGTCATAACATACATATAATACAACCCATTTACTGTTTTTAGAGATTGAGTGGAAAAAGAAAAAACTGCTGGAGGAAGATGAGTCAGAGGACACCGATGAGATCAAGACTGTACAAGAGCAGGAGTTGGAAAAGGTGCGATTACAAACACACACATAGTTCATCTGTGCATTAAACTGTGTGTGAAGAATGGAGTGAATGTTATGAGATACTCTCCCAGAGCTCTGCGTCCGTTATAAATCAGCAGGATTGAATGAATGCTGCAAACTAAAAGCAATTTCTTAGAGTTGTATTTCATGTAATCATTTATACCTCTGGCACAGATCCAGTCCAATCTCGGCCGTCTCATTTTAAAAGAAGAGAAGGAGAAAGCCATTCAGTTTCGGAGGAAGACCCAGTCACTGCCCGACAGAACCCACATGCACAGCAGTAAGTCACATGATCAGAGCTGCTCCCACCTCCTTCATAACACCCTCACTGTGTGCAGGTCTGTCCACGACCACTCCACAGTCTCCCTCCAGGATAGGAACCGGTCTGACCAGAGTAAGTGCACTGTGCTCCATATGAACTACTACTCTTACTCAATTTCTTCATTTTGAGATCAATAAAATATATATAGTCTTATTCTTAATATTATCACATCAATATCAAACTTGTTGGTGTAGGATTTCTCTCATTTTGAATCTGCAATTGCGTGAGCAGGAAATTGTAAAGATTGCAATTATTTCAGTTCTCTACAAATAATAAAGAGACTAAAGATGAGAAAAATAAATTACTTGAATTTGGAGTAATGTCTCTTGATTCTTCTTGTTTTCTGCTCCACATATACTCCTCCAGTCTGTGTTGTTATCAGGCAGAAAACAAGACAAAAGCTCATCTTTTTACAAATGTATATAAACTGTCAAATTGTATGGCACAACTCAAGTTTGAGAAAGCGCTTTGTGTGACCTTGGTCTGTAAAAATTCATTTCGTGATAAATATTACTCACTCCCTGCTATAAGAATTTGGTGAAAAAATAACTTCATTCAAGATTTGATTTTTATTTACCCATTTCTGCAGTGAATCTTTTATTCCTACAATGGTTGTACCATAGATAAGAACAATAGAATAAGATAAACATGTTCTAAAATGTGTGGGAATCATGTCTGAGGTCATCTACAAATGACCTCAGACATGACAAGATATCAAAAAAAGTGGTAACAGATATTGAGCCCTATGTGAAAAATAGTGACAGAACCAAATCGCTTTTGTGAGTTGGGAACAAGTTTGATGGATTTTATGACATAGTCTAAAACAAAGTGCAAAGAATCACATTGTAAGTCGTGTTATTGTGGCCTGACCTCTGCGATGTGTTCACAGATGCAGTCTGCAGAGTTTTCCAACGGAGATAAAGGACAACCAGGTACAATGCATCGTCCGTGACCCTTTGTCTGAAAAGTTATGTTTCTAGAGCTCATTCTGTGTCTCTTTATGTTTACAGCGGCTCAGGTGAGACGTCTGCACCAGCTCAGTGAGAAGGTGGCATCGATGTTCTAGATAATCACTCAACATTCAACATTTATGGACATTTATAGTCATCTGCCTCTTATGGACCAATACCATGTGTTTTCCATCGTTGCATTTCTAGTGTTTGATCTGTTTGATTCTCTGATCTGTGTTGGCAAATCCAATGCTTGTGTAAAGTCCTTTGAGACAACTACTGTTATGATTAAGGGCTATACAAGAATACATTAAATTTAATTGAATTGATCAGATTAAATTCAGTGAAATTTATTTTTGTATAGCCATATTTCACAGCAGTAGTCGTCTTGGAGAACTTTGCAACATAATAGATTCCTCAAAAACAGATCAAAGAAATGCAAAGGAAAGGAAATGCATTTATATCAAACACATAGGAGCCATTGGTCCATAAGTGTCCTTAAATGTCCCGGATCTTCGCTGTCTCTAAACACTCCTGCATCGGCAAGAAACAACTGAAAACCAAGGGGGGAGAAACCTCAGAGTCCACCTTCAGAGATATCGCTCATGTTTGGAAAAGAAAATCTAGCTCAATTCAACTCAATTCTCTTTAACAAAACATTCCAAAAGTCATACACTACGTCCGCAGGTTTGTTAGTACTTTGTAAAAGGGAACTCCCATCTACTTCCAATGACGCACAGCTACATACATCACTCTCTCGCACAAGAGAGAGATTCTAATGTATTATCCGGAACGACTAATGAATAATGCATTAATGACTGTCTTATCATTACCAAGTCCTCAATGGTTCCTTGGTAATATAGGCATTATAATAACAAACACTCAGGGTGAATCCTTTTATTTAGCTACAAACACAATGTCATGATGTGTTTTTTACCTCGTCCTCACGTTGTGCAGAATGGAGATCGTAAGGAGCGGATGGACAGAGGAACTTCACTGCCAAGTATCTTAGAGCAGAAGGTGAGAGCGCCACACTCAGCGCCACTTTTACTGCTTTAACTACAACTGAAACCAAAACCGTTTGTTCACTCAGATATATCCCTATGAAGCACTGATTGTCACCCATAGAGGGCGCAGTAAGCTTCCTCCTGGAGTCGACCGTATGCGTCTCGAGGTCTGTATGTGAGGAAATGTGAGCTGGGGTTGTCACAAACTACTATGGAACTACTCAGAGATTATGATTATATTTTTCTTTAAATGAGATTATTATTTGTATCTTTAGTCAGGATTTACAAATTATGTTATAGGGAATTTGTGTCGGTGATATAGTAAATAATAATACACATTTATTTGAGTAGAACTTTTCAAAAACAGTGTTTACAAAGCAAAGCAATAAGTTCATAACAGTCAGTCATAATAATATAACAAAGAAATGCCGGAGATTAAAGCAGTCAGACAACAAGAAAGACAAAACAAGGACGATGTGGAAACGTGAAATACATGTAGACTTTTAAAACACACATTTATGGAAAGGCCTTTCAATATAAGTGAGTTTGAAGAAGATTTTTAATTCTGCTAGACGACACCTAGAGTTGGGGTGGGTCTGCTGCGTTAGGTTGACCGGTCGATTTGGGCATTTATGATCATCTTTCTGCAACTTTAATGCACTTGGTTTTCCCTTCTGTATGAAAAATGCTTTATTAATAAAGTGTTATTGATGATGAAGGGGTATACATAATGTGAGAACAATATTTAATAATAATAATCCTAATTTCAGACGCAAGTTTCATATAAAAGACAATAGATTCATGCATGAGCATTCTTTGTATTAACAGTCCATCAGATATAGGGTTTTGAATGCGACCTGTGTTTAATCAGTTTTTTCCCCGGTGGCAGCTGTGACTCTAAGCTGATGTTTTTTCCCGCAGCGACACCTGGCTCCAGAGCAGTTCGAGCAGGTCTTCGGGATGCCCATGGTGGAGTTTGACCGGCTGTCGCTATGGAAACGCAATGAACTGAAGAAGAAAGTTTCACTGTTCTGAAGAAGTGGCCTAATTTTACTATCAATACTTGACGAAAACACACTTAGGGCATCTTTCCAGGTCACAGCGTCCAAACATTTAACCAACAATCAGAGGAGACGAAGGACCAGCGCTCCTCCTGCACTGTACTCACTGCGTGTCTCACCTGCACTCACAAAGGCATGCTCTGTAGGCTGCGTTCTGATACTAAACACATAGTACAGTTTGAAACAGGATTTTTAATCAATATTAGGAAATATATTATTATTCAAACAAGATTCAGATTCATTTTTATTTGCATATACACTATACTCATTCCAAGTGAGAATTTATTTTCACTCTAAAGTAAAATGGTGTCAAATCTAAGCCACAAAACAACTTACTTCAAGCCCTTTTTTAGAGCTGGGAGAACTAATTTTTTCGTAATACATTTTGTTTGTCCCAACAGTTTTGTAAAAGTAAAATTTTATATGTATGTGCACCATCTTATTAGTAAACATTTCATATTTTGCGTATAAAAAAAGAGCCCTGTAGGTCACTATTTGACTCCTTGGGCTGAAAGATGTATTACCGTTTATAGCAATATATATTTATGAAGCAATAGCTCAGCATAAACACATTTTATTCATGATAGTTCCCGAAAAGCAACGCCACTTCAAAACCAAAGATGCAAATTGTTGTCAATCGGGGAAAAATAAAAAGTTATTCATATTTCAAACAGGATCGAACAAGAAACCCAGAAACTAATTTTCCCACTGAAGTCACCTCAAACTCTTTAAAAGTGAACGCAACCTACAGATATGCTGCACGATAATGTCTAAATGTTGTGGGAAAGTCAAAAACAGCACTTAAAGGCGTACCATGTTGTATACATCTCTAGAACATGCATTTACTCCTGACATTGTAACCGTTTGTTTTAGGATTATAAGGGTGGCTTTGCACTTTGCAGCTACTTTGGGCTTCAGGCGAAATACAGATGAATGTAAACGTCGATGATCACGTTTGTAAATTTGAGTTTTGGTTGTGGTTTTATGGCGATCCGTGAAGCATAGCATTACTAACACATGAACCATTCTCACATGGTATATACTCCTGTAAATTATGAATAGAAATATTGAAATAAATGTAAAAATGTCCACTTTGTTTAGTGCTCAAACGCAGCGTGCTTTCTGTCACAGCCTTAACCACATTCATTATATCATGACAATCTATTGTGGAATCATTTGTTTTTTCTGTTTTGCATTGCGCACCGGTCACGATGACAGTATTATTTTGTACGGAGCTCTACAAGCACCCATTATTATTCATTTATCATTTGTTTTTCTTTCATGTTTTCTTATTTGCACATGCCAATTTGTTCATACTAAGGTTGTAAATGTCAGATAAATGAGAAGGTTATTATGTTACACATGTTTCAGACTCAGGGTGGTGTGTGTGGCATTACTGCTTAGAAAGTCTGTGACCGAAATGGGGAAAGGGTGAAAATGTAGTAAATCAGCTGCTAATTTATATATAAAAAAGGATTCTGGCAGTGAACATTCAATCAACAAGATAAAAGTGTCTCATAATCCTACCATCATTCCATTTAACTTAGGAAAAACTGCCACATAGGCTTTAATGTTTTTACATCACAAAGTTTAGTTATGTGTAAGAGCTGTGCTGAAGAAAGTCTGTTCAATGTTAAAGCAGAGTTTGAGATGTATAATGAGTTGTATTTAAACTTTAATGCCATATTGAGGAACATGAGGTCCAAGCAGGCGGTGAAGTCCATGAGAAAGTGTGGTAGTTTTCAATTACAAAATGTTAATCAAGACGTTCACAAGCTTTGCTCAGACAATGCTGTTGATTTTGAAACTATAATTAGACTAAAACTGTAGATACTGTAGATCTCATGTGTCTCCTCTATATCTGACGACTCATGTGCTCCGTTGACTTTGGTTCAGAGACTAACACCAGCTGGATTATAGCAAAAAGCTGGCAACCCAAATGAGAGACCCATGGGACACCACTACAGATTTCGGATTGGATAATCAGGTTGAGAAACACATTATGCGTTAACAAATTCAAAACACACAACTGCCGTATTAAGAAAATAACATTTAACATTTTGATCATAAAAAAATGATTTGTGCAGATAATAGTACTTTATTGATTCCATAGGGCATTTTTCCTGCATTTGAGGAGCAGTGGTCACCATAGTGCTCCGCCTAGGACCCCTCTGCAGATATTGATTGGTTTGGTCAGGACTATCAGAGCTCGAGGATTTTACCCATTGTTTAATGGCATAGAGGAAACCGGAGCTGCCGAGAAAATACACAGACATGGGAAGAACGGCGGGGTATTAGTTTCCTTTACCCCTGAACGTTAACTCATTTTCAACTTTCTTACCCGGCACTTGAATTAAAGCGTCTTCCTATGGGAGACTGTTTGCATTTCTGACAATAGAGCTTTATTTGAACATCTGAAGTGCTTCACAGACTGCAGGTGAATCGTAAGGAAGATTTCTGTTGCTAAGAAACATGGCTCTACACATAAAAGCAAGGAAGATGACAATATTTCAATGCCGCTCACTGAATGAAGTAGCACAAGGCAACACCTCCCACGCTGCCCTTTGATTGACAGTGTCAGCGTCCTTGAGCAAAAGCAAAAGCACCCATTCAACACACACAAGCCGCATTAAATCGCCTCTTTATTTGAATGGAGTGAAACAACTACAAGCCTTTGGGAGGCCTCGTCATACATGTTCTCAACAAAAAACAACACCTTTTCCACTCCAAACACAACTTTAAAAGAATGTAATTCATATAATTACTGTACATTCTAAGATATGTGTTTTGTTTTTTTATTGGGAAAAAGTGGACTTGCCACTTCCTCCCAAATCCACAAATCTGTATCACCCAACGCTTTAAATGAAAATATCCAGGTCCCAGTCACCAATTAACACACTCCTGAAACATGCCAATAAATTCTCATGGTCAGAGCACTCAGAGGACATCTCTGGATTTAGAAAGACTAAGAGCCATCTGAACATTTCCATGGTAAAAATGTATTCAGTTGGTTTGCAGAAGAGGAAATGCCATGAGTGAAATGCAAGCTTCCCATGTCCAGATCTAAAATCAAGATCTCGGGACCACAAATGTTCCCAAACTTCTGCAGCTTGATCGGACTAACAGGTGACGTCATGCATGTTGTCATGGAAACATGACTAAGGCAGCTGAACTTTTGAAAGGCAGCAAACGATCGAGCCTTCTACTCAAACTGTAGCTACTTCCCTGAATGTGAACGCCAAAGTTACAATGGAGTGAACACTTGCATTTCAACACATCACATTTACATATTTTCTGCAGGAAAACAGGACATACTAGACCTTTGCCAAAATATATGAATATGTTACATATGCCGGGGAAGAAGAAAAACAAAATTATATATATTTATATATCTTTTTTGAACAATGGGATTTTTTTCTTATATATAGTCAATGATCAAAAACATAATTCATGTCTGGGCCAGTTTTCTGTCCTTTTTTCTTAGTATCAATTATTTAATAGTAATATAGTCTGCATGAAAATGCCCCAATCATTGTCCATTTCTTTCCTTATTTTTCCCTTTTCTTTCTATAAATAATGAAGCCTAAAATCTATGTGTTGTAAAAATCACATTGAAAAGAGGAACTCATTAAAATGTACATAATAAATGTAAATACTTGCTCCTGAGAGCTCATACACACTATCATTGGCATAAGAAAACATGGTTTATGCAGGTTTCAATTGAATCAAGTGCTTTCACTTGCTTTACGTGGGCATGATCTCAGCATAGGTACATGAACGAGATACACCACAGTCCCTGCCTCACAAAAGGACACTCAACAAAGCTGATAAAAAATGCTGCCCCCAAAAGAACGGAAGATAAAGTGGAGCCGTTAGTAACACAGCAGTGTGTGCAATAGCATATCCTCCCATATCCCTCCCTTCATTTTTAAACATGATTTGCTCTGGTTCAGTCTCTAATGATGATTCCTAGAGATGATTCCATACATTAAGCAGAATGAAAATGACAAAAATAAGTCTCTGCATTGGTTCTCCAGTACTTGTCTGCGAAGCATAGGAGTAGAGCAAGTAGGAATGGACCAATATTTGAGAGGAAGCAAGGGAAAGCAAATGGTAAAGGGGAAAATATTTAGGCTTGTGTGTTGGTGCCGTTTTTGTCTGGAAGTCCAGTAGTTGCCGGCAGGTTGTTAAGAGATTGAGCACCCTCGTTCTGCTTCGAGTCGCGTCGCGGAGGCATCCTCTCGTTGATCCGGTCCAGACCTCTGGCCTCTTCAAAGCTCTGGATCTTAAGCTGCGGCTTAGAGCCTTGAATAGCTGCAGAAACAGGCAAACAAGTTTTAACCTTCAAATCAATGAGAACTAATTACCTTCATCTCGGTAGATTTGAGACTGATCAGCAGGTTTTTGCCAATTGAAAATAATAATTTATAGATGAGACCTTATAGCACCAAATGGGAACTTAGAGACCTGTATAGCAGGTCTGTGTTTTAAATGCACTTCCTAAAAAGATGCAATGTTCTACTTTTCTGGTGAAGGGTTGGCTTTTTGCTGGAATGAACCATAATACAGTAGAGAGTCAAGCGACTTCACAAGGCTAAATTACAAGTCCTATCTGTGTAGAGGAGGTTTTAAGGCCCTGAACACAACGTCAATATTCCATTACAGATGCAAGTTTTATATCATATACATGTAAAGTCCATGCAAATAAATGACATCTCAATGGAAACCAGTGGAACCAGACCACATCAGAAAAGTTGTGCCAAATAACAAATATCTACATTACAGTTAGAATGTGCATACATCTGTGTCAGTTTATTTAATGAAAACAATTCTAATGGCTCATATACACAAAGTTGAGAAGGCTTCAACAGTTGGCCTGTATTCTGTTGGTGACAAGCTTTTTGAGATCTGCCCACAATCGTATGGGATTCAAATCTGGGCTTTAAGATGACTTGGGTCACTCTAACTACTTTCAATGTCCATCTGTAAGACCAATTTCCGTCAACTTGAACATCTTTAGAGGTGGCCTCAATATTTCCACACATCCATGATGCAATGTAGTTTATTAATGCACATAATGTCACCCATTGCCTTCACTTATCTGCGGATGAGGTTTGGTGCAACTGGGAAATTGACAACCAACCATCTATGGGTTTGTCTCAAAGCCAATCAGAAGCAAGACCGCCGTGCCATCAATCAAACTGGTTGCTAAGGGAACAGCAATTGCGGGCGCCGATCATAGATAGGATTGGTCACTTATCTTTCATAGCTGAATTTTACTCAGTGGTTTTGCCAATGATTTTATCACAGCTCGCACTCACACACTGTAGGTCTGAATATGAGACACTCGCAGCAAACACATGACACATCCATTAAACCCTTGTTAACAATGTTTCTTTCTCAATAATCTCTTTTGAATTTGGTTCTTCGTTGGTTTACATTAAATTAACTGTAATTTACTAGTTGTATTTATTGATAATAAAAAAGGGGAACAATTATGTTAAAGATACAAATGAAAATATGAACAAGTAATTTCCATCCATTGACCCCCGCAGTTTGGAGTCACAAAAGGAGAGTTAGAGTCGTACAAAGACCTCAGATAATTTATCAGAAGATTCCAAGGTAGTGACATTATCTGGCCTTTCCCACTTTGTTAAAAAAGCACAGAATTCTAAAAAGTGTGGTATTGAGCCAATAGAATTGTTTAGTAAAATAAAAAACTGACCAATAAAAAGGAAAACTGAAATTTTATGTAAATGTACAGAATATAAACACAATTGTATGCAAACCAGTTTCTAATGGTTACTACTTATGACAAAACGAACGCAACAAGAATCTGAACTTACTTTGACCGAAAATGCGAAGAGCGTGCAAGAAAAACAAATACAAATCAGACAGATCTCGATTGACTTGTTCCCTTAAACCATGATTTTTTATTTTATTTTTGTAATGACTACGTTAAATGGGAATATTAGGCTCAGGGCACACCAATCCGACCACAGGAAATGCTGCTCTGTCTGTGGCAGACGCTGGTGTACGGTCTACACATAATCAAGAACTCATGTGAGTTTTAAGATAAGATGGACTTTATTGATCTCACACAGGAGAAATGTACACGTCACATCTGGCATGGATAGAATCACTCAAGAATTGTGCAAAAGAAAGAAGTGTGCAAACATGTTAGAGGCAAAAAATATAGTCTGTACAGGACATATTATGTACAATAAAAAAGTGGCTTGGGTCGTAAATTATTCACTATTTCTTTGACTTTTTGATTAGTTTCTTGAGGCTGGGAAAGAGGGAGGGTTTTTTCCCCCAAATTTGGGTAAAACAAAGTGCCACTCATCTCACAAATCTCCATTTAATGATTCAGTCATATCTCGACCTGAGTGAAAAGACCTCATTATGTCACATTGTATTCTGTGTATAGGTCTAATACTAGCAACCACAATCTACATTTGTTACATATTATTTCAAGAAAATTGAGATTAATAATGAGATTAATTGATGAACTTGTTACAGCCCTGCGTGTGTTTTAGGTGCATCTATCTTCGAGACAGCCAAACTTAACAGGCAGAAGAGTGCGGATTGGAGTGCTCGGGCCTTTAACGATTACATATTTTAATTATCCTTAAAACTTATGATCTTGCTTTTACAGGCAAAACAGCAACACATGAATTATTAAACACACTCTGCGTTACTGAATGGCATAAAATAGTTTAGTTAATCTGGTAGACACACAAACATGAAAGGGAAAAATAAGACTTGCGTACCTCGTGCTTCCTCTGCCTCTACGGTGGCTGTGTAAGCGTGAGTAGAAGAGCCATGCCCAAAACCAATGGAGAGAGAGTGGCATTATTATTTTTGAGTGCATCCAGTAAAGTCATTGTAAACATTTAGAGATAAGAAAACCCTCCTCTCGGATTCAACTTCAGCACAGACAACACCAAAGATTAGCACAAACTCAAACAAGAAAGCTACACTAAGAACAACTACAGGAAGAGTCATCTATAAGTGCACGAGGCAACCTGGTTACTTTTTTAAATCTATTTTGGCAAAAACATTTAAAGAAGAGGAGTAGAGGGAAATTGTTGCAGAAATATCCAGTGTGTGTGTTTTGTGGAAGGTTTGTTTATTGCTCATCTTTAGCATCTGTGGCACTTTTTAACCATTCTACAATAAAGGAACATATTTTGAGACAAACTATTATTCTATTGTGCATGAGCTTTTTTTTATGTTTTTGTTTATTTAACTAATTCCGTTTTGCCAGAATCAAACCAAAACTGGACAAGGGGTAAAAGGCAGCTGGTTTTGGATATATGAGTTATAAAATGCTATAGTAGCACAAATGATGTTGCCAGTAAAACGTCATTTATGCTACCATATCGACTCATTCATTAAAGGAGAGGCTAAAAATACAGTATGAAGACTACAGATGGGAGGAGTCTGTGGGTCAATTCTATTCTTGGGTTTCATGACGTCGGGGCAGTGGCGCGAATAACAAACGTGGGACAGGACGTGACGTACCCTGGCGCTGCAGTCTGCCGGGTTTATACACAAAGATATAGTAGTAGAAGAAGAAGCGCTGTCAAAATGGCATCTTTTTGTGCGGTGTACGCTTGTAGCAACCGCGCAAATACAGAGAAAGACAACAGTTTCTTCCGTGTTCCAACTGTGGTCTCATATAAAGGAGTACACTTTGTAAAAAAAATCACTCAAATGAGGCGGGCGAGGTGGATCAAGGCTTTCGAAATATTTTTTAGTAAAGTTTTTTTTTTTTTTTTTAATCCACACATCAGTGCTACAAACTGCTCGTTTGGCCCCCGCTCTAGATATGCTCTGATGAGCAGCTCTGATTGGTCAGAGTGCGGAAGTAGCCGGCCGGCTCTGATGCTAACAGAGCTATGCTAGCGGCTTCTTGTGTACAGATCTTCTCCAATATTTCAGCTGTGCAGCGTGTCTTTGCTCACAGACATTCCACGAGCTTTATACAACAGTAGTATTTGTTCACGGAGGTGCAGCATACATTTTTTTATTATTAAATTATATTTCCGCATTGGCGAACACACTCAAAGCAGTTGCATAAGGCCACGGGAGCATGACAACGCATATATTTACAAGCACACAGTCCCCCATTTTCAACCCTGGTTTAGTCCTGGTTTAGTCCTGGTATAGTCCTGGTATAGCTCCTGTTTTGGCTGTTTACAGTATGTCCAGTCTGCTCGCTCAGACCACTAATGTCCCCGTGACCACTTTGCGGCTCTCTGATTGGTCGCTACAAGAACGTCCCGAGGAAAAGTTGAGCAAAGTTTATCTATATCTCTATCTATATGTGGACAAAATGTTTTTGTCTTTTTTATTATTCAGCAAGTACTGCATGTTTGCAACGCCGGTACATTCTCCCAACTCAGTGTAGAGACCAACTCATGTCCAAATTAAACTTCATTTGGACACAAGTTGACTTACAGTTTCCGGTGTTAATGAGCCGCTCTCAGTGATTAGTGAACATGCAGAACTAAAGGCTGATGAGACGACTGAACTCACCGCTCTGCAGAGTCTGTCGCCCTCCGGACAACACTCCCATGGGCAGCGTCCCGGTGGGGGTCAGCCCTTTGAGCTGCAGCACGCTCTCATTCTCCTCTCTGAAAAACCATCACACATTAACAGATTGACACGTGGACCATTGCAACACATTGGAATAACTAGTGTACATTTTCCCTTTCTAGGGCTTTTACTTTTTCCAAAAGTTTTTTTTTTTGGCACACTTGTGAAATAAAACAGGGCATAAGTAATTCAAGATAAAAACTCATTAACCCTATGAAAAGTAGAGCAACGCAGGCGATATTTGACATAATTGACGTAAAGTAAGTAACTAGAACACTCACTATGCCCCATTTTGTTTGTTTATTAGTGATTATTTAAGACTACAAACCTGAGGACAGAGAAGACTCTGGCCATTTTCCCAATTGCCCTGATCTTATTTCTGATCACCTCTTTTCGCACAGCAGGAGTGCCGCCTGAAAACAAAAGGTCAGAGCTTTTACAGGATATAGTGCAACAAACAAATACTGTTCATCTAATGACATTCCCAGTATTTGTAAACGTATATTGTATAAGCTGGTGTGACGGCAAGGTACAAGCTTTAATAAATAAATATTTATTTATATTGAAGTGGCAAAAAAGCAAAAGAAATTCTCAGGTTGGATCCAAATGTGATTAAAATGCAGGATCTAAATAGAGTTGTACCTTCACATGTGTCATCTCCTTCTGACATGAGTTCATCATCAGAGCAAATATTTAGGACGTTCACCAGCATTTCCGTCACTGGACAAAACATCACAACAACGCGGTATCAGATGAGATGGAATGTGCATACAGACAACATGCAGTCACTGCCATGATCACCTTTTTCCCCAACAAAGGGCAGAGACCAGGTGAAAACATCCATAAAGTTGGGCAGCCAGTAAGGATGAGGCGAACAGTTAAACTGTCTAATGTTCATGACATTGTTCTCATATTTGAGAACTGCCGCTGTGGACAAAAGAACCGAGAAACATTTACAGCCTTCAGTCAAAACACATGCCAATAGAATCTGTTGCCAAGGTTTCCTAAGGCGTTTCCATGGTTCCCTCAGGTTTCTACCTTTATTGTTGTATACATCCAGGTAGTTTGGAGCGGAAAAGATGGTAATTAAAGAGGGGAAGCCTGTAGTCTGGCTTTTCCTATACATTCGATACCTGACGACAAAAGTAGTACAGTCAATTCAAGCTTAATGACAAACCGCTTTAGTATGTGTGGCCAACACTCCCACTCACCCGGCATCCTGCGCTTCATGTGCTCGTATTACAGATAAAAGATTATTGTTCATCAGGAAGTCACATACTGCAGGGTAACTGCAAAGAATAAAACCAAACCAAAATGTGAATATTATGGTCAAAGATGTAAACCTCCCTGGCTCAGTCCTTTCTCCAGTGAATTTACGAGACCAACAAGTCTTCCTCCTCAGCCCCAGCGTCTCAATTATAATAGTGATAACCAAGCACACACATGGCCTTGAGAACCAAATCTTGAATATTATTGCAGATTGAATTGGCTCACGCGTTATAAACTGATCTACAACTTGCAGTAAAAGGCATTAAACGCACAACACCAAGCTACTGTGTTTCTAATATTCCATCCATACATAATGTGCATATTTGCAAAAATATGCATTAGAAAAGCGAACAACAAAAGTGACTACTAATGTGTTGCAGCGTATATCAAGTGCAGGTTACTTGACAAACAGGCCCAATGTCTCTATGCTGTGGCTACATTTTATCGAGCAGGGGAGGCAACGTTTACAGTCTGTTTGATTTGGATTGATAATAATGTTACTCTTGTTATTAATCCTTTTAATGGACATTGTGTCATGTCTAAACATTAGCTGGATTGTCTATGGAGTCAAAAGGGAAAATAACCAATTTACCACTAAACAAAAAGCAGCTGTTCTTATTTCCTACAAAGTCCTGCCAAGAAGATGAAAAAACATGCAACTGCCACAAATTTGAGTCCTCTAGCAAACCCTAACCCTAACCTTTTTCTACTTCATCCAAATTGTCTAAAGCCTGGTTCACACGGCAGGATATTTAGGCCGATTTAGACCCAATTTACCCCTTACGACAATCTTAAGAAACGCTCCGATTTCCGTAACAAAATCTTACAGATTATCCTGCTGTGTGTGGTGTGTTAAGACTGCACTCGTCGCTCGGAAGGACATCGGGACTGCTCCCGATCTCAAATTGGGGATATCCAACATGTTGGATTGTTTTGGCCCGATTTCTCGACGTGTGTGGTGTCCTCCGAGGACAAGCGAGCGCGTTGCCATGACTACGGCGTGTAGCCAATAAGAAGACGAGGTGACAAGCCGGTGAGGAAACACTGGAAAAAAACCAAACCACAGCAGCATGGCTTTGACCATTGCCTTTTCTTTGGATTACGTGTCTTCTCTGTTAACAACAAACTGCACACAATCGCCACTGCATCTTCTTCGTCCGCCATGACTGTTTACTCTGAAGTCACGCTTGATCTCGAGAGATTTTGTGAGATTTCCGTCTGACCTGGGAATGCTCGGGGGGGGTGTCGGTTCGTGTGTGATGTTTGTGGCTTGCGTGATCTTGCCGTGTGGCTACGCACCACACACTGCACGACCAAAGTGGTTAGACGCAGGATTTTTAATCTCCCCGTGTGGGGTCTAACACGGAGAAAAATCGGCCGACAATTTTAAAATCGTCTCGTGTGAACCAGGCTTAACAGGACAAATTATTGGATGAATAATGTAAATACATAAAGATTTGAATAGATTTTTTTTACGTTTTTTGTTTCAACCTTCCAACATGTGCACAAATAAAAATCAAACACAAAGGGAATAAAAGTGTTTTAAATGTCAATTTTGAGGCTTCCATGTATTGTAACTTATCGCAATACTTCAAAATAAGAAAAGATTTTAAAAAAAAGTAGATTTGTTCACACCTGTAGAAATAAGAGCAGCCTCTGACACTGTTATGGCAAAAATGTTCCTGGGTTTTTTCTGAACCATAGTCTTCTCCGGGATCAGACCAGAGCAGGTCACACATAGGCCCATACGCAGGTGGCTCTTTAAACCGGTCCAGCTGAGCACAAAACACACCAGTGTAAGCCACGCACCAAGAGAAATAAATCCGCTTTTTGCTAAATGTAAGACCTGCAGATCTAACCATGCACAGCTGAGAGGAAAATAGTAGATAATACAAATAAATGACTTAAACAAAACAGAAACAATGTCCTGACGCCTGTGTACCATGTAGCAGTCTGTAAATTACACAGCAAATGAATGTGGCTGAAACTGGCGTCAGGACATGTGTTCAAAACAGTCAAGATGCTTAAATTGCAAACAGATTTATTATATTTGACTAATGAAATGCGTTCTAAAGAGGTACCTTTTGTATGTCACTTAAGCAGGTGACTTCAGGACTCAGACCTCCATGCACACAAAGGAACTGCTGGTTGAGAAGTGCAGCCAGAGGTAAGCAGTCAAATGCATCCATACATGCATCATATACAAACTCTGAGTATTTTATTTTACCTAAAGAAGACAACAAAGGTCAGAATCATGCTTGTTTCATTACAAACGTCTAAAGAACCAAAAAACCTTACACTCCTGTTTAAAGGTGAAGTACTCTGTGAGATGTCTGCACTCGTGGTTCCCTCGGAGGAGGAACAGCGTGTTGGGATGGTTGATCTTCAGGGCCCAAAGATACAGCACACACTGGAGAATCACAGGCACATACATATTTTTAAACCGGTTTTGCAACCTTCTGAAGTAGTAGCAAAGAGGCCTCCTGAATTATATCAAAACATTCAAATCAGAAAAAATATTCAGTCACAAAATACTATTATTTTTAGTAGACTAGTTATTTTTCTTTTCTTAAACATATCCTTTAATCAAAGTTATAAATGCAGCGGTAAAAGACAAGTTACGATGTTGAAGTTACAATCATTCACTTGTTTGGCCCAAGTCCCAACACTTAGAGACTGGGCCCATCGTTTCCAGAATAGGTCATGACTGGGATTCACCCGAGAAAGCCAGTGACGTAAGGGAAATCATAAGCTTTAAAATGAATAATAATAGTAAATAAAAAGGATGTTAGATGTGGTTGCTCTGGAAAAAACTATAATGTTTTTGATCAAACAGTTATTAAATAATCCAATAAACTTGAATAAATCAAGCTTCAAAACCATAATGGGGCATTATGAAGGATATTTGAATAATTCAGATCTCAAAACAACACATTGTAGTAGCGTTTCCATGACAACATAAACACATCAGGACGCAAGCCTGAATTCTGATTTTGCTTTCACTACACAATAGTCTGTCGGTTTGCCTTGGTCTTTCATATTAAATAAATCTAATTATTGACCTGATATCTATTGAAATACCCCAAACCATAAAGTGGAAGTTTTTTTTTACTGATCAGCTAATATTTTAGTTACATAACACCAGGGAGTTGCAGGACTTACAAGAGCATTTTTTGTCAATTACCAGAGCAATAAAAACTAGGGTTGTCAAAATTATCATGTTAACGCGTGTAAATTTTTCATTACTCGTGTTAAAAAAACATTTGCGCGTTTAACGCATGTCCGAATGACCCGCCCATGTATCCCATTCACTCAGAATGCCGCAGACACATGCGTGTGTGAGATGGCCACAGAGCAGGTCTCTGGGAATTCACGTTTTAAAAGAATACGCGCATGACCACGGGGCACTTAGCTATGAACTGAAGTCTGCCTCCTCCGTGGCCGCAGCGTTCTGACCCGGGGCAGCTGCGGCCGCTCTGGACAGCTGTGAGCCACTAACAGGGCACAACACCGCGAATGGTGCCGCGGTAACGTGATCATATCCAAGACCATACACGCACAGAACTATTCTCTGCATGTTGTGTGCGTGTCTTTGCGTAACCTGTGGACACAAATACACAGCTGAAGCTGAACTATGGAGCCTCAGGAAGTGTCCGTGTCTCCTCCTGAAACGCAACTAAACGCGCTAAATTAAAGCTGGGGTATGTAAATGTTCCCTTTCATTAACAGCTCATGTTGGTTGTGCCCAAAAGTAAAAGGTTGTGAGCAAATCAAACAGATTTAAGTACATTTGGTATGAATGACAATGTGTCATTACATTTGATAATCTCATTTAACTTCAAATGGAGTGGATTTGAAATAGAATGTTAAAAATGTGATTAATCGTGAGTTAACTCACCATTTCGATGAAATTAATCAACTAAAACATTTTAATCGTTTAACAGCCCTAATAAAAACTTATTAGGTCATATTCACAATACACTTCACAGCAATACAGTCAAGAGGAATTTTCACAGTGACTGAAAACCTTTCACATCGAGCAAAATGTCAAAACGATCCGGCCATAGACCTTTCATGGACCTTAGTATTCTCTTTCTTCACTGTATGCTGTATCCAGTTTCTATTGTCCATCCATCCATCTTCTTCCCCTTAATCCATTTCTTGTCGGGGGGTGGCAGTAATAGCTGCACCCAATTCATAAAACACCAGCCCAGTTTCTATTGTATCTCTCCCAAAAGTCAAATTGAGTGGCAAAAGCATAAATAGAAACACAGACTATTGGCTCCTACCTCAATACTGAAGTAGCCTCGATCAACATAGTCTCCCAGGAACAGGTAGCGAGTGGTGCTGGGAGAGCCGCCCACCTCAAAGAGCTTCATCAGATCAAAGAACTGTCCATGCACATCTCCACACACTGGCACAAGACAAAAGAAGACTGCCATTAATATCCTTTACTATTATCCTTAATCTGACCCTTTTTGGCACAAAACAAAATAGGCTGATTTGAGTGATGCCACTTAGATTGATATATTTCAATAAAGGGAGCAAGATGAATCTGAAATTGACCATTATTTAAGTATTTCGCAAAACACAGAAAATATTGTAGAACACCTGTGTGCCTCAAAAAGTTTACTGTTTATTGCCATATTTCAAAATATTTGCGAGTGCTAATCAAACTTTAGTCCCTCCAGCGTGTCCTTGTACTTCCCCGGGGTCTCCTCCGGTGGGACATGCCAGGAACACCTCCACAGAGAGGTGTCCAGGAGGCATCTGGAACAGATGCCCTAGCCACCTCAACTGGTTCTTCTTGACATGGAGAAGCAGCGGCTCTACTCCGAGCTCATTTCTCCAGTTCAGGAATTCTCCACCCACCCAGAGAAGGTAAAGCACTTTTTTCCGGTTGAGCCCTAAATTATGTAATCGCATGCTCGTGTATTTTTCAAAAATACATGCGCAGGCCATCTTCTCTGCTCTGATTCAGTCACAAACCCTCAACACTGTTCTGGAGAAAAGTTTACAGATGGTAAAAACGTGTAAAGCACAAAGCAACAACTGTTCAAAACTATTTAGGACGTGCTGCCGTTTCCAGCACATTCAATGTCTGTGCTTATGCAAATGTCGTGGAGGGAAGCTACTATGGATCCAATCGCCTTTACCGTCCAGTTTTCGCACATATTAAAAATATATATTATGTTTTACAGGCCGTTCTACTCAAATCATTGTTTTTCTCCTTTTTGAAATAAATGGTCACACAGCATAAAGGCTGTTAGGAATAGTTTTGTGCTTTTGGCCTCTGCATTACCGCAAACGGTATAATTTTGATTGCCGGTATCAAAACAAACACTGCAATCGTGTTTGTGTATAAGCGCGCACTGATGTCGTTTACCTTTGGTCTGAGCGTGCGGAGAAACAGCGGCTGCGATCATAGCTGTGGAAGATGAACTCAGAAATAAGCTTTTATGGGAATATCCCCCAACCCTATTGAGTAGATTACCTAACGCTACACATCAGTAAGCAGGAAACGACAGAAAAACTATACAAAACAAGTAGGCAGAAGCATACATCTTATTAGCACACTAGTAAAGTAGTTCGGGTTTCCCCCACCACCTAAAACGTCCAACAGCGTGAATGAGGTGGAGTATGATTCTCATTATTCTCATTATTATTATTATTATTACCTGTGACAGGAGCTTCTACTTCCAACATGCACTTCTCCTGGCGCAGGATGCTGGCTCCTTCATTGATGATTCGAAGGGCCGCCTCCTCCTCCAGCCGACCTTCTTTCACCAAATGGGCCTTGAGCGTTTCTACACTGGGCCTTCCATCCACATAGAGGTCCTTGACCGTCAGCCGGTTGCCAGGAGGATACGGCACCGCTAAACACACAACAATGTACATTTGAAAATGATGCGCTGAAAAAATAAATTGATAATAAAAGGACTGAGACCTCCATTTTGGTGCAATTTAATTCTTATTCAAATAAACAGTGGAAAGTGAAGATGATGCAGTATAATCCAACATTCAAAACTGAGCGAACAAGCCAGAAGAGGAGAGATTTGAGGCACTCAAAGAAGACAAACTAAAGGTCCTTTTATCGCTTTACTTTAGACGAGCAAACACGTTTCAACACAGGCCATAAATTCATACTGCAGCATCGTCACTCAGTCTCCAGTTTGCAAATCCAGGCCCTCATAAAGGGCAGAGCTCCCGTTTTAAAACACAAGAACCCACTGAAGCACATACTATTCTGTCTTACGTCATTCTTATTCAATTAAAATGGATAGAAGATCATCTTTAGAGAATAGACAAAAAATGGTAGCAAAAACTTGATCTGGAATAGAATTAAACTAGCTCAATAAGATCATAATATGTAAACTAAAACAAGGGACATCTAGTTTGAGTGCTTTGATGCTCTGAATCAGACCAGCATCAGTCTAGGGCAGGGTTTTAGAAACCAACTGCTAGTGGATGTCCGATCCTCATACAGAGAATTGGCTACAAAACATTCATTTTCATATATATATATATATATAACACCCTTTTAAAATCTGTATTGATAGATGCTTTGAAAAATAAAAAATCCCAATTGTATTTATCCAACATTGCATCAGAATGTGGGTTTTCAACTTCAAGTTCTAAATTAGGAGATACTACTGTGCTTACAAAGTTTAACAAGATGTGGCATGTCGAGGCTAGAACTTTAACAATGAGGTGCATGTCCAAATGTTAAACTCAGCTGCATTGCTTTACAGCATCATTCACAAGATAGTAAATATACACAATGTACAGCACTTCATAAATAAGGATCTGAGGGTTGAAAGTTGATGTGTTACAGGCAAATGTACAGATGCCACCTGTGTGCAATATCTGAAATTGGATGGTGCATTTACTTGATCAAAAGTGTCTTTTTTTCTTATCCTATTGGCTGTACAAAAGATAACACTTTCTTCAGAACCACACAAAAACACACCATTTCAGCAGCTTCCAATTTAACCGGCTGGGGACACACTGCACATCTTTCGCAAAACTGTTAGTTTGAGAATGTTGGAGAGAGACCACATTACACAAGTTCTATGAGATAGAAACAAAGAAATGATAATGTATTCTCAGATAATTATTTGATAGTGAGTAATAGATACACAAAACAAAATTGTGTAAAAATCAATTAATGTTTACACAAAATGATCTTAAATGTTTCAGTGAAGATCAAAATAAGCTTTTTATTTGTAAAGTGCTTCACACATCTTTGCAAAACATTCAAACTTATATCAACATTAAAATCTAATTGAAGTAACACGGGAAGAACACATGCAAAAAGGCCTGCTCAATATTTATTGAAATGTACCAATAAAGCAGTGATTGGCTTTTTAGGCATGCATTTGGCGAATGGGCATCTTGCCTGCTCTAATTGTAATATGTATTGGAGATATGTGTAAGGGAAATAAAAAATTAAGATTTTTTTTCCGTCTACGATATACATCGCTCACTGTCAAATCTTCAGATCAGATTTTCAGACAAAAAAGCGAAAAAGAAAAACCTCACTTATCGCATCCCTTTCTCTTGACATTTTGCCTTTTTTTATGAATACAAAACTGAAAAGTGGTGTGCAAAAGTATCTACCCCCTTTCCACGCAACCAATTGCCTTCAGATGTTGCCCAATTATTTCTGAATAATCACATGTTGACCTAATGACTAAATAGAGTCCACCTCTGTGTAATCTAAATTTAGTTCAAATACAGCTGTTGTGGTAAAGCAGGACATCAGCCCAAGCCTATAGTTCACAGTGGTGGGTTCACAGACCACAGTTTGTGACAGAGGCATGAAAGTGACTGTAGTACTTGGACTGGGACATGCATATAAAAAGAACTCCAACCCTGAAAGAATGTTACAATAAGTAGACAAGGGAGTCTAACTGGGGTTGGACAAAGAACAAGGAACATTCTACAGATTTTCACTTCTGGAAAAGAAAAACACATTAGATTAAAATTGTAAAAGCTCTAGCAAACATCATTGAAAGCATTTTGCAGATGAACAATGGTGTCAGTGAGTGAAGAGGGAAAGGAATAAATTATCATGTCATCTGCATAAAAATGACAGCTTTTCATTCAACGTTGTTTATGTGAATTGTAAAAAGGAGCGGGCCCAATATAGATCCCTGTGGCACACCTCGAGCGACCTCGAGTGATCATCAGTTAAGCCAATAGCCAACTTCTGGACCAGGCTGTAAAGCCGCTTTTGAGAGGAAATAAGGCGCCATAAGAATGCAATGGATCATTCTGTTTGAGTACGCCACCCACCGGCAAGGAACCAGATTGCAAGCATGTCAACGCACGTACTCATGGACCTTTTTGAGCCGGGAGCCGCCCCCACTGGTTAACATTGGCTAATCATCTTGTGAAAGACGAGAAAAAGGAGTGGTCTCACATAGAATGATGAACTCTGTTGTAAAAACACTTTTCAAATATCTAGCGTGTCACTTGGGGGCATTTTTTCCTTTTTCTTGTTTGTGAAGTAGATATTGTGCCTAATAAAAACTGCTTGAAGAATACAAAAAAGTGCTCAATAATTCATAAGTAAATAAAGTAAATAAAGAGAAAAAGTGACGGGGCATCCCAATTCATTGTAAATCCAACATGTAGGCCATTAAATGAGTTGTAAAGGTTTGCGGGGTCTATTGATGTTAAAAGTAAATCCGCTAAACATTTTGTCACGGGTCAGGGAACACTTTGATTGGCTTTGTCAGACAAGCCTAATTAGCTCTACATTAAGTCTACTCAATCCAATAATTGAATTACACACATACAGTTTGAAGATAGCTTGACCAGCCAGAGCAACACAATTTTACAACATAACAATATCCAATATACAAGGGTCTGCATTTGGGTGAAGGGACTGTAGAAAGACAAACCCCTTGTTTTATTCTGAACAACAAAAAGAAGAGCACACACGCACTAGGCTGTTTCTTACAGTAAGTAGAAATATTCTATATAACAACAAAGAAACTTTGGTAACTGTGACTACATCTGAAATGAGCAGGAATATTTCCTTGCCCTTCCATGTCATAAAAAAGTGATCTCTGATGATACGTGGCAGCTCCTGGTTAGGTTAAGTGAGATTTAATTAGCATATTTTTGTTTTATTCCACAAAAGGTCAATACAAATTAGACAGAAGGACAAGGAAGGAGAAACTATTATTAATTCATGTGGAGAACTATTTTTGAGAAATGTGATGTTCTATTTGAGAAACTAGGAACAAATGTTCCCAGTCAGACCCTCCTACATCTGATTACAAGTGTCAGAATGAAAAAGGGCCTGGAGCACTCAGTCAAAGCAACACTCACTCGCGTATTTAACTGCGTTATATGGGTACAATAAACCAATAGAATAGTATTCAATGTAAATGATAAGTAACGAGACCCGATGTGCAAAAATAGTTAATAAAACAAAGTAGTGGTTATCGGAGCATTGTATTGCATTGCAATATTAGCAATTACAAAGCGTGGATAACATAATGGACGCTTTAAAAGGAGTAATCCAGTTTCGGCTGTACGCAATCACATTTGACTGATATAGTTAGGATTGTCATTTCGCAGAGCTTTGAGCTGTCACACGAACATTTGCAAACTGGGTTAACTTCCTGCAAAAGAAATGGTCATTATCATTTTAAGCATTCGATACAAACCTTTGATAGGTCGTTCAGTAGTGGAGAGCTTGTTTTGATCTTTCGTCGACATTCTTTACTAGGGGTGATTGGTGGCAAATTAGCCGATTTCCTCCGTAAACTTGATGGATTCCTTCTAGCTAGCCGCGCTAGCTGGACTGAGCTAGCCGCGGGAGCTAGCGGAGTTTCAGCAGATGCACTGTGCAACACACACACACGCCTCTCGAGCTGCACTTCACACAGAGGTGGGAGGGAGAGGGGAGATCTCCTTAACTAACAAATTAAACCTCTCCCTATGCCCGCTGCAGCAGTGCCGTGATGCTAAAGCGCTAACCCGGGGAGAAGAAGTGATCTGGTCCAGGAAATAGTCCTGGGGTCGCGGATGACCGACTCAAGACAGATCAGTGCGTCCGATCATAACTCAAGTTCATCCTTTTACTCTTGGGCGAGGTGCATCTGTTACAGGCCGCTGGGCTTTGCTTTTTGTCGTGATCCGATGTGTCGTCCAGACCCTTGTCGGATTACAATAATCCGCCACAAGCGGATTTCCTACAACATGGCTCAATACGCAGGTTTGTGGGTAATGTAGTATCTACACTGAATATTATTCTGAAAAGCCTAGAGAGGACATCGCCATGCAACACATGCAGCTCTAGCTGCCATGTTGTGAGTTCAAATCATCTGAGGAAGTCATTCTGGACTTCTAATGTTTATATGAATGCGAAAGGCAACTCAAAGTGCTTTTAAAAAAACAATAAATTAAAAACTGGGGTCATCCGTACATTAATTCTAAAATACATTTTAAGAGGAGCAGATACAAGGAGAGCAGCTAAAACATATTTCCTGGTAACGCTCAAACATCACTTCACCCACATTTCCCAGAATGAGTCCAGTGTGTGTGGGTATGGGTGTACCTGACAGAATCAGTGTTGCCAACTTAGCGACTTTGTCGCTAGATTTAGCGACTTTTCAGACCCCTATAGCGACTTTTTTTCAAAAAAGCGACTAGCGACAAATCTAGCGACTTTTTCTGGTGTTATTGGCGACTTATCTGGTGTTTTGGCGACTTATCTGGTGTTTTGGAGACTCGTGAAGCACGTATTGTTCTGCAGTTAGAGGTGCAGGGGAAAGCAGGGAAGGGTCACTGGGGAAATTGTATGGTCAGAAATAGACCTGGATTATGGGAGCCTCTGGAAGTTTCTGTGTCGTCTTTGTATATGCGGCGTGCATTTAAGACAGAGCCCTTTGGACAGAGTCAGACTCTTTGGGGCCTGGTACAAAGTAACTGAGAAGCTCCTATCTACAACAGGTAATGACAACTTCACAGTCTTAATGAGCACATTCTGAAACTAAACCAGAATCACAGCTTTTGTAAAAATCACATTTTGTTGTATTTCTGGAAAATTCTGCTGCAACTCGTCTCACATATGGTTTCCAGCTCCATGGTAGCTCTAATAATGACTCTCATTGTGTCACATTGGTTAAACCAACAACAATAACTTTTGCAACAGAAAGGACTGAAGACTAAATACTAAATCCATTATCTCAAGCATTTTATCAGAAAGAAACTCGGATTTCCATCATCACATAATACATTTAATTATGTCAAGCAAGTACAAATGAATACAAAGAATAGAATATTATTTATTATGGAGGGAAATTATTTTAGGAACATAGTGTACTACAGTAGAGATTACGAGGGCCCAGGGATAATTACTCTAGCATTCACCAATTATAATTTTTATCAGATGTTTAATGCATATTGTAGCTCCCACATAGACACATCTGCAAATATAGCAAAGACCAAGAGGAACATGTTCTGGTCAGAAGTGAACCCCAGGACAGAAGCTAAAGCCATTTTGATGGTGTGAAGGAGTCACTTAGGTTCAGCAGGGGGTGCTCTGGTTACATCCACGACAGACACAGAGCAACCTTCAGACCGCAGTCCGAACCCAGGAAACACAGGCTCAGAGAAGGAGGAGGTGAAGGTGTGGAGGTGGGACAATTCTCCACCAGAGAGGACCTCATAGAAGGACAGAAATCCAGCCTCTGAGTCCAGGAACACAGACACTCGACCTGAGGAAGTGGAGGAGGAGGAGGAGAAAGAGGAGAAGGAGGAGGAGCCTGTTTGTCTGTCATTGTGATGTAAAGAGTAACCTCCATCATAGATCCTCAGACTCCAGGACTGATCATTGGCTCCAAACGGACTCTCCTCTGTTGTCCCTCTGTGTCTGATTCCTCTGTGACTCACTGCAATATCAATGGCCTGCCCACTCCACAACCTCTTGCTCCAGTCCACCTCCCAGTAACAGCCCCCCTCAGGCCAGTGCTGCTCAGGAACTGACAACAGTCTGTTAATCTGTCCTGATGCCCTGGACACTGCAGCTCCTCTGCCCCTCTGGTCAATGTCCGTTTGTCCTCAGACAGTTTGAGGATTCTGTGTCCCGTGTTTGGCTCCAGAGAAAACTCACAGAAATCTGAGGAACAAAACAAGAATAAAACTCAGGTCCAGAGTTTTTAACCAAAGATTAACCAAAGAGATAGCTTTTCTTCTATATAACTTTTCTATATAGATAACTTCTCTGGTTTAACGTCCAAGAAGTGAATGAGAAGAACACTCACACTTCCTCAGACCTGGAACCATCCACTGTTCTCCAGCAGGATCCAACCTGCAACACACAAGGCACTTTAGACCAGAGACCAAGACCTGGACCTGGACCAGGGTTCAGACCTGAGTTCCTGCAGGGGGCAGTGTGGATACTCTTGTAGAGCATTCAGCAGCTGTGATGAACCTCCTGGATGATTGTAGCTCAAGTCCAACTCTCTCAGATGGGAGGGGGCGGGGCTTTGATGGGAGAAGATAGGGCTCAAAGCTGAGGCCAGTGCTGCCCCGCCTCTCTCTGAGATCAAACATCCAGACAGCCTAAAACACATAGTGTTACACTCATGTGGACACAGATGACAAAGAGGCATCATGGGAGTCTAGACCCTGGACCCCAGCACCAGGGTCTAAACCGTGGGTACTCCATATTCATAGGGACTTCTCACAAATAAATGGTTATATTCAGCAGGTCAGGGCTTTACACAGAGAATGTGACACCACCAGAACAAAAGACGCCTTAGACAAAAGAGAAACAACAGGTCAAGACTTAGATAGAAAAGGTTCCAGGAGTGTTGACCCCCCAGGTCTGAGAGTCAGGGACTGAACTAATCAGTCTTTAGCTTTCTAAAAAACCTTGTATCTTTTGCAAACATGCCCTGTAAGTCGCTTTATGACTTTGGGCTGAAAGCTGATTGCAGTGAAGCCAGTCGCTCCAATGCACTTTCTATGTCTACATAGGCTTAAATAAAATAATAAGGTTGGCTACCGCAGTTTTAATATTGTACTATAATGTGTGGACTTTTCAACTGTCACCTGAGAGTGTGCAGTCCACAGGATGCGCTTTTCAGTCCAGAACACAGCAGCTCCACTCCTGAGTCCTGGAGGTTATTGTTACTCAGATCCAGGTGTGTGAGACTGGAGGAGCTGAGGACTGAGGCCAGAGGACCACAGCTGCGAGAGGAGAGTCCACACTCCCTCAACCTGAGGACAGAGACTCATTAGAGACTAGAACCTCCACAGAAGACATCAACACAGTCTGGACTCACAGGACTTTGGTGGAGGCTCTGACCACCGGCAGCAGACCCAGGAGTGCTGTCTCTGAGGGCCGGTATTTCTTCAGGTCAAACTCCGGCAGGTCTGAGTCTGAGGACAGTAAGACAAAGGACACAGTCGACCAGTCAGCAGGAGATGCTAAGCTGGAGAGATCCCCTATTCCCATGTAGTACTGTATCAGCTGCACCCGACTGAGGTCGTTCAGCTCTATCAGACAGTGGAGCAGGTTCATGCTTTTCTCTGCAGACAGACCCTTTTCATTCAGCTTCTCTTTGACGTACTTTGCTATCTCTTTATTGGTCCCTGAGCCACTTCCTGTCTGAGTCAGACCAGACAGAAGCCTCTGATTGGTCGGAAGAGACAGCCCGAGGAGGAAGCGCAGGAACAGGTCCAGGTGTCCATTTGGATTCTGCAAGGCCTGGCCCACAGCACAATGGTAGAAGGTTTCCTCAGACTCAAAGGAGTGTGGTGTCTTCAGCAGGTTGTTAGAGGAGTGCGGTCTCTTCAGCAGGTTCACAGAGTAGTATGGTGTCTTTAGCAGGTTCTTTCCAGAACTGTAGAAGGTCTGATGGACGTGAAGAGCAGCCAGAAACTCCTGCACACTCAGATGGATGAAGCAGTAGACCTTGTCTTGGTAGAGGCCTGACTCCTCTCTAAATACCTGTGTGAAGACCCCGGAGTAAACCGAGGCAGCTGCAGCGTCCAGCCCACACTCTCTCAGGTCACAGTCGTAGAAGATCAGGTTTCCTCTCTGCAGCTGCTCAAAGGCCAGTTTTCCCAGAGCCTTCACCATCTCCCTGGTTTGTGGAGTCCAGTGAAGCTCCTCCCCTGTTCCCTGCTGATACTTGATGTTCTGGACTTTGGTCTGCACCACCAGGAAGTGTGTGTACATCTGTGTGAGGGTCCGGGGCAGCTCTGGTTCCTCTGTTTGTTCCAGAAGCTTCTGTAGAACTGTGGAGAGGAGCCAGCAGAATACTGGGATGTGGCACATGATGTGGAGGCTGCGGACGCTCTTGATGTGGGAGATGATTGCTGTGGCCTGTCGCTCATCTCTGAACCTCTTCCTGAAGTACTGCTCCTTCTGCAGGTTGGTGAAGCCTCGGACCTCTGTCACCATGGAGACACACTCTGAAGGGATCTGATTGGCTGCTGCTGGGCGTGTGGTGATCCAGAGGTGAGCGGAGGGAAGCAGGCTTCCCCTGATGAGGTTCACTAGAAGAAGGTCCAGTGAGACGGACTCTGTGGGGTCTGAGAGGACACGAGAGCTGCTGAAGTCCAGAGGAAGTCTGCACTCGTCCAGACCGTCAAAGATGAGGAGCACCTGTAGGTCTTCAAAGCTGCAGAGGCCGTTGGTCGGACTGAAGAAGTGCTTTATGAGTCCCACCAGGCTGAAGCTTCTGTCCTTCAGAACATTGAGC